GCTGCGATCCCGGGCAGCCCTGCAGCGCCCCCTGGTGGTCTCTGTCGCTCAGCCGGCGCCGGGAACCGCCGCCCACCCCAGGGCCGGGTGGGAGAGATCTATCCGCTCTGCACCCTTCTACCCAACCCCTCCTACGCAGGGCGGGGCTCAGGCTGGTTTCCCTTTTCTTTTTTATTTCAAAAGGAATGTACATTTATCATCAAAAATACAGGCAAACAAAAAGAAAAAGCCTCCAGTCAAAACCACAGTGCGGTATCAGCTCACCCCAGTTAAAATGGATATTATCCAAAAGACAGAAAATAACAAGGCCGGCGAGGATGTGGAGAAAGGAGAACACTCTCACAACAAGCCAATATTACCTCACATCCCTTCTGAGGGTCAAAAATTAGAGAGCAGCTCAGCCGAGTCGTTCTAGCTCAGGTTCTAGCTCTTTCATACGGTGGCAATCAAGGTATGAGTCAAGGCTCCAGTCAGATACTAACGAAAGACTGATTAGGGCTGGAAGCCTCCAGGTTGGCTCCCTCAATGGCTGCTGGCAGGTGGCCCCAGAGCCTGGCCAGGTGGACTCTGCCACAGGGCTCTTGAGCACCCTCATTGCATGGCAGCCAGCTTCCCCCAGAGACAGTAATCCGAGAGAGCAGAACAGAAGCCACAGTCTCTATGTTTTTTACCTATCCAGGTACATATATTACCTGTTTAAATTGGCCAAGCGCGGTGGCTCACGCCTGTAATCCTAGCACTCTGGGAGGCCGAGGCGGGTGGATTACTCGAAGTCAAGAGTTTGAAACCAGCCTGAGAAAGAACGAGACCTCGTCTCTACTATAAACAGAAAGAAATTAATTGGCCAACTAATATATACAGAAAAAATTAGCTGGGCATGGTGACGCATGCCTGTAGTCCCAGCTACTCAGGAGGCTGAGGCAGCAGGATTGCTTGAGCCCAGGAGTCTGAGGTTGCTGTGAGCTAGGCTGACGCCACGGCACTCACTCTAGCCTGGGCAAAACAGCGAGACTCTGTCTCAAAAAAAATAAGATAAATGTTTAAACAATTTTTCAAAATAATTAATAAAAATTCCTCAGACCATGACTCAGTCTGGTCTAGTTAAGAAGTTTCCAAGTGTTATCAACAGACTCCTTTCCCCAATGACATTTCACAGGAAGCCCAATGTGACAACCCCAATAGGAGAGCAAGTGGCTCAAATGGGAGTGAGGCCTGGGGACCATCTGAGTCCCTCTCACTACTCCACTCGCCAACTTTTGGACTCAACCTTTTATTTGAGAAGGAACTTCCTGACTTTCCAAAGTTGTCAATAATTGCTTTTGTGAGATCTGAAATGGTAAAGGGATTATTCTCCCCTCCTCCTGGAGTCTTTTCTTCTCAATGTCCCTTTATTATGAAAATATTTTGTTATAATTTTTTCAATCAAAAAGTTACAAACCTTCAAGGGAAGGAAGGATTAGTCATTTGGTTAGAACAGAAGTTACCAACCTATTCTCACTGTACTCTTAAAACTGTATACCCAGAAGGCTTTGCAACCCGAAGACCTAAAACAAGCAGGGGGGGCTCGCTCTCCTTGCATTCCTTCGCTCACTATTCCTCTTCCCTCCCTCAAGCCCTCCCCCCACTCCTAGTCAGCATTAGCTTCCAGAAGCCAGTATATGCAGGAGGGTCAGTCCTACCTCTCTGCCACAGGGAGCCATGATCCCGTGTTCTGGCAGACACCTAAGATTTGCAGCCAGTGAGACCTGGGTCTAAACCCCAGACCTACCATTCAGCAGCTGACGGAATCTGGACAAGTTACTTAGCCTCTCTGAGCCTCCGTGTCTGCGTCTGTAACTCACGAGTGGCGCTCTCCCCGCAGCTGGGCTGCATAAGGATAGCACTCAGCATATGGGAGTCTGGGGCCTCTACTCCTTCCAGAACTGGAACTTCCCAATTTAGGACTTTTTGATATATTTGGTTTAGAAAGCAGAGGTCAAGCCCTGGCCCAGGTAGGGCCTCCTACCTCTCACAGTAATCTAAATCCTGAGACAGTCACCCCCCACATACACACACCCAGGTCTACCTGGAAAAGCCAAGGCCAGTATGGTGGGTTGGCAGGTCTGAGTCATCCTGGATGAAAGCCTAGCATCATTTTTCAGTACAGTGACCCAGGCCACTAGAGAAAGGCGGCCAGCAAATTCCACTGACTTTTCAGATGTGCTGAATAAAGGGGAAGGGGCAGGTAATGTTCTCACCCACACTTCCCAGGTGGAAGGTGAGTTGAGTTCATTGGGCCAAGGCTGAAAAACCTGAGGAGGGAAAGAAAGTATCCCCAGCACTGCCCACTCTCGTTCTGCGAAGCTGCTTGCTGGGCTTTCTGTCTTCTAGAAGCTCCCACGGCCTAGAGCTCCTGGGGTTTTTAGCAGGATTCCAGCTCAGGGTTTTCTGGTTAACAGCTTGCTTTTTGGAGACTTTTATTTTAATATTTTAAAAAAGTAACTTGGCAAAGCTTATTTTTTAAAAGATGAACAAAGGGAACAATTTTCCCTACCATTGGGTTCCCAGTCTCTAACTGGGCACTAATCACAGCTGGCATTAAACCATCATCCAACAGCAACTTCCCTAAGTTAGATTTCCAAGGAGTAGCAGGGCGGAGGGCCTTGGCCACGACAGGTAGAGGCAGGGTGCTGGGGTATTGTGACATGCTCTGGGCAAGGGCAGATTTCCCTTGGCCGACGGGGGCTGGAGGCCCAGAGGGACAAGGAAGCGGATCGGACATGAAGCAGCGGCCTGGGGCCCAGCCCCCCGGCGCCCCCCAGGAGGAGAAGGCTGAGGCGCAGCCACAGGCTCTGGCCCAGCCTCTGGAGGACCGCGGCCGGGTGCTGCTGGTGAGCGAGTACTGGACGCAGGAGGAGTGCTGCACGACCCTGCAGGACCTTCTGGGGGACTCCCCGACCGGTCAGCCCTCCGGACCCTCGTCCAGCCGAGCCACCAACCGCCACACCAGCTCCAGCAACTGCGCCACGCGCCCGCCCAAGCGCTCCGGCGACAGCTCCGCGAACGGCGACGACTGCCCGGCGGCGAAGTTGCAACGCTTCACCGAGGAGACGCGACCCCGCGGGCGCGAGGCCGAGGACCCGCGCGAGGAGCCCGGGGCTCCGCCTGGGACCCTGGCACCCACGGCAGCAGAGAAGGACGCGGTGGCGGCGGGACGCGGGGCCCCGCGGCCGCGGGCAGCGCCGGCCGAGCGGGGCGCGCGGCTGCTGCTGGTGCTGTGCCGCGCGTCGGCGCTGAGCTCGCAGCTGCCGCGGCTGCAGCTGCTCCTGCAGCAGGTGCGCGCCCGGGACCGCCGCCAGCCCGCCGCGCTCGTCGGCATCATCGTGCAGCCGCAGGGCCACGAGGAGGCCGAGGCGCGCCGCCGCATGGAGACCCTGCTCTGCGGCGTCTTCGAGCCGCACAGTCCCGTCGTGGAGGTGCACACGGCCGTGTTCTGCCCCGGCCGCCCCGAGGGCACCCTGGACGTGCAGCGCGCCGCCGGCCAAGCGCCCAGGGTGCCCCTAGTGGATCGGGAGACCCAGACCGACGGTGAGGGCCCTTCCTGGGAACACCCCGTGGGCGCCCCTGGGAGGGGGGACGCTCAAATACGGAATCCTGTCCCCTGACCCTGCTGCCCCCCACCCGCACCAGTAGTGGACAAACCCCCAATGCCACTGCCTCTCTCCTGGCGCCTCCAGGAGTTTGGGGTATGGTTTGGGGTCCAGGTGAACTAGGTGTGCTCGCTGGGGCCATCTCAGAGTCAGAGTGTTCTAAGTAATTTAGTTCAGAGGGCTGCACCTCCCACTCACTCACCCCGCCCACAACTTGGAGCATCGTCTCCCACTACTTGGAATCATGCTTTTGTAACGTATCGATTTGGGGTTTTGTAGGACCAGGGGCCCCTTCCTCCTCTCCACATCCACTTACTCCTTGCTTAGTTCTTTAGTCTTCTTCAGGGAATAATAATTACAATAAAAGCATGCCTATTGCCGGCCAGGCTCTCTTCTAAAGCCTGTTCACGTCTAATCCTCACAACAACCCTCTAAGGATGGTACTTTCTTATAGGTGGCCTCCTGCAGAATTCTAACTCCCCACCTTGGAGATTCCTATCAGGGAGGGAATCCAGGCCTGTGGCTCCAGGTGATTAATCTATGGGTCTGACGGAGCTCAGCAGCAGGCTCTTGAATGGGCGCCAAGTACTGTATCTTCTGTGCTAAAAGCCCCTGCCGGCTCCACCTTTCCAGGGGCCACAGTAGGGACTGAGGAAGCGCTCTGGGGGGAGAGGCCAAAGCCCGGGATACTCCAGCCTCTGCCACCCTCCAGCTGGTGACCAAAGCACGTTGTCCTCTCTGTGGACGTTTCCTTCCTATGTGGCATGTGAGAGTGAAGGGCCATTGATGCCTAAGGTGCCATTCAGCTTCAGGACAAAAGGTGACATGGTTGTTCTGGGTGCCCAGGACACATCCCGAGGACAGGAACCATCAGTGGCCATCTGGGTGAGGACTGTAACCCCCTCAGGACCTTAGCCTGACTAACTTCAGATTCCATCAGACTCGTTCTTCTCGCTCTCCTAAATAGTCTGCGGTATCTTCACATGGCTGGCACACATGGTTCGGACAGCCCCTTGCCTGTGGATCATTCTAACCACGATCTTCAGATCTTCAGCTGAGGCCGGAAAATTCCCAGTCCATCTTTGAAACCAGCCCTTTAATGGTGAAGTCTGGGAGTGCCTTGTCCCTGCCACCCACAGGCGCCTGCCTGCTCTCACAGCTCCCTGCTGTCTCCCTCCCACCTGCACCTTCGCTCACTTCGAGCAGCTTGCGCTGAGCCCCTCCTCTGCACGGTGGCCCTCTGTGGTACCCACAGTCCAGGGGTCGGGAATGAGAGAGAAAACAAGGACAGAAATAATTCTAATGTTGTGCAGATTGTGATTGGTGTCATACAAACAGTTGCTCTGAGTCTCAGGGAAAGACGGCTTCCAGTTGGGGATCTCAAGAAAGGCTTTATTAAGAGATGGATCCACTTGACCATGGGAAATGTTTTGACAAAGATGAGGGTTAGTGATGGAGGGGAAGGGCTTCAGAAAATGCAGGAAAGTCAGGCCTGTTCATAAGACTTCTGGTGCTCATGGTTGGCTAGAGCCGGACACAGGTAGCAGCGTGGTGGCAATTAAGCCTGGGGCAGTGAGCTGTGATCAGATTATACCAGAGTCAGGCTTCTGGGCTAGGAATTTGTGCTCAAGCCGAAGGCAGAGAGACCATGGAAGACATTCTAGTAAGGAGCCATTGCAGTGCCATTCTTCCTCGTCCTTCTGGGACCACCTCTCATTGTCCCGTGACCGCGCTCTCCCTGCTTCCTGGGACCACCCTTCCTAACGAACCCACACATACTTTTGCTGCCGCCATAGAAAAACTCCCCACTTATCCCTAAGCCTGCCCTCTGTGTCTCCTCCACCTCTATCCTGGGGGACACAGACCTGTTCTCTGTGCATCGTTTGGGCCTGTCGGGTGAAATGGAATGTTTCTTTCATTGCTACCTGTATGTGTCTGCCCCCATCTCAGTCATTTAAACTGATGGTTCTCAACCAGGAGCAATTTGACACCCCACCCCACCCACGGGGGACTTTTGGCAATGTCTGGAGACATTTTGGGGTTGTCATGGGGTAGGAGGAAGTGCTAGTAGATACAGGCCAGAGATGCTGGTAAAATTCTTGCAATACACGGGACAGGCTCCCACGGCAAAGAATCACCCAGCCCTAAGTGCCAGTCGGGCTGAGGGTGAGAAACCCTAATTTAAACCAGGTTGAGGCCTTCAGTCAAAGCCCATTGGTACCTGAAAACCCAGTTAGGAGTCCCAGACCTGTTTGCTAAACCCCAACGGGGTTCCTGACTTGGGTTTCCAGGCTCTCTGATTCCAACTGGGATCCCCTCTCGGGACCCATTGTCGTGACTTCAGGGAATTGCCACATTCTCCTAGACTCATCTGCTCCCTGCACCTCCTCATGCCAAAGTCAACCAAATACAACCCAGCACGCTCAGTCTGAGGTTCCCTTTAGTTCTAACCCTTCATGCCATTGCTTGTTTGTTTTCTTCAATCTTCTCAGGGATTTTTTAATTCATTAACTTTGAAGCCTGTATAATTATCTGCCTCCCTATTGCCTTCCGGGGCCATGAAAAGGTAGAACCCTGCGCTGGAATTTAGCCCTGCCCAAGGCCGCTGTGTGGCCTTGGAAAAGCAGCTCAACTTCCTCAACCTTAGTGTCCTCTTCTGCAAGAAGATAATAGTTAAGGTCTTTTCAGGCTCTAGAAGCCCTAAAATAGGTCCTGTCATTCCACGATTGGCCCTGTGTGGGGATTCCTGTGAGCCCTTTTTGTGCTAGGTCTGCCCTAAACCTCATCCTGGGGCTCAGTATTGTCCCCTCAGGCTGTAGGTCATGGGTTTAGCAGTCACATGCTCACCTAAGTCGTGCAAGTAGAGTTTTCCAATCTGCAGGCCTTTTATGTGGCAAAGTGTGAGGTTTCCCTCTTCCATCCTAAAATGAAAATCACATTAATTTAAAGAAAGCTTTGTGGTTCCCTGCTCGCCCTACCAGTTTGGAGTTTGGGAGATGGTCAGTCTGGGGTTGCCAATGTAATGAGTTTGAGAAAGTTTTAGTTTTCTGAATGGCTGTTATGTCTTCTAGGAAAATTCTCCGCCAAATGCAAGCGTTCTTGTAAAAGTAGGGGTACCCGCTCCAGGCCCGAGAAGGCTTTGGGGGAAGGGGAAGGTTACTGTGAGATGGTGGAAGGCTCTGGGCCACAGACAGTGAAGCCTTCAAAGAAGCTCCAAATCTTCAGGAAAGTGACCTAAAACTCATAAAATGCATCATGAGCACAGATTTTTTTTTCTTTTTTTTTTTTTGGTATGTGGAAACCAGTGACAGAGCTGAGCATCACATGCTGCGTGTCTAAGAGCAAAACAGATAGCTCACATGAACTCAGGAACACGCCAGCAGAGAGGTGTCTGAAGGTGGCGCTCCGGTCACAGAATTGTGGTTGTCACCGGCCTCACAACCAGGCACAACCAGGCCTGTGAGGGGCAGGGCAGCCGCTGCCCTCTCTCTGTCCCCGCAGCTCGGGAGGAGGGAGGACACCTTGCTGGTGTCTGCAGAGAAGACTGTCCCCGGAGCCCTGCCATGGGAGCCACCCTGGCTTCTATGACCTCACAGGAGGTGCGGGTGACTGTCCTCTGTGGGGCCTGGGTCCAGTCGGGGGGCCAGAGCCAGACTCCTCAGGCAGAGGGCACACGGTTCCTGCAGGAGGGAGCCAGGAGACCAGGCAGCTCCATGTAGGTCCACGTTTAGGATGGGAGGCCCCGCCATGAAGAAGGTCAAGAAGAAAAAGGTAGAGGCCCGACGCCGCCGAGACTCGAACTCCCACCACTCCACCTCGCCGCGCTCTGAGTCCGCCTCACAGCAGCCCAGCCCCAAGGGCCTCTCGAGGAAGCCCAGCCCCGAGTCCCCCTCACGGAAGCTGCGCCTGGAGCCCGCGCCACCGAAGCCCAGCCCCGAGGCCACGCCGCTGAAGCTCAGCTCTGAGCCCATTCCGCTGAGGCCCAGCCCGGAGTCCACCCTGCAGAGAACCAGCCCGGAGTCCTCTCTGCAACAATCTAGCCTTGAAACCACCTCCCAGGAGCATGCCCCGCAAGCTTTTTCAGCTTCCAATATCCGCCGCTTCTCTGGGAGCCTATGTCCGACCGCTGACACCAGCCTAGTCCCTCAATTCCAGAAAACAAGGACAACAGGTGGGCCATCTTCTAGCTTGAGCAGTCCTAGCCTTCCTGCTGGTGGAGGCCCAGGGGCAGCCCAGAGGCTGGTGCAGGGTTAGGAGCGTGGTGCAAGGTTAACATGTATTCTGGAACTGTGCTTGTGACGTGTGAAGGTTTGTTTTTTGTTTCTACCCAAGAGACCAGGATGCCTGGGTTTTGTCATTCCCTACCATCCTGGGTCTCATTGAAGACAACCACACACATATATTGTAGTAATACTTGTTCATTAGAAGTCAGTAGTGCCTTGTGACTGCTAAAAAATAAAAAACCAAGGTTGCATTAATAGAAGTATATGGTTTAGAGCAAGGGAGGTGGTCATATTCCCTTATATCCGGCTATCCTTGTGGGCTGTAAAAGGTGCCAAAAAAACTAGTTCAAAGAAGATAGTCCAGGTTAAGGGGTCCAGGTAGGCAAGAACCATTTGGCGTATGACAGTTGGTTGAGGGAACTGGAGGATATCACTCTGCCGGGTAGATGTGAGTAGCCTTGTTCCATGTTGTCCCCGTAGGTCTGATTAAGGGCCCATGGATAGGGTAGCCAGATAAAGTATAAGATTCCCAGTTAAATTTTAATTTTACATAAACAACTAATAATTTTTTAGTATGTGTATCTCAGCACCCTGTATTTTTATTTGCTAAAATGGCAACCTTATCCATGGAAGACACTTGAGACAAATTTCTGCTCAACATTAAAAACTTTGGGAAAATTAGCTCTGTCTGAAAATGCAATGGCTGTTGGGAAAAGTGGTTCCGCATCTTCTTGGGAGCCAAACAGAGTCTGAACAAGCATTGGATTGTGTAGAGGGAATTCAAGTGAAGTTTAGGAAGTGGGCTGGTTTATCCTAACAATAATTGGTGACAGCTAATTTTTATCACTTAGCATTTACTGTGTACCTCTCATTCAGCTCAGCTGTCTGAGTTAATCTTCTCATTTGACAGTCCTACGAAGAAGGTTCTGTTATCTCTGTTTTATAGATGGGGAAACTGAGGCTTATAGGAGTTAAACAACTCACTCTTTTTTTTTTATTTTGGTATATTATGGGGGTACAGATTTTAAGGTTTCAATAAATGCCCATTTCCCCCTCCCCCCACAAGTCTGAGTCTCCAGTATGACCATCCCCCAGATGGTGCACATCTCACTCATTATGTATGTATATACCCGCCCCCTCCCCCCTGCCCAGTACACTATTACTGTAGTACCTATGTGTCCACTTAGGTGCTGCTCAGTTAATACCAGTTTGCTGGTGAGTATATGTGATGCTTGTTTTTCCATTCTTGGGAAACTTCACTTAGTAGTATGGGTTCCAGCTCTAACCAGGAAAATATAAGATGTGCGATGAATCCACCATTGTTTTAGAGCTGTAATAGTTACTGTCCATGCGGGTACGTGACAGTATTCACATTTTATTTTGAACTCCATTCTGGATTGATGGGCACTTGGCTGTGCTGTCCACAGTCGTGCCGCGATTGCATGATTGTGCTGCCCTATAACATTCGGTGCACGGTGTCTCTTTTGTGTAGAGTGTCACTGATCTTTGTGGCCGTAGGATGCCCAGCGATGCGGGAAGTTGGCTGCGATCAAGGTGCGTACGATTCATTGTATCGCCTTTAGGGTATCTCCATGTTGCTTTCCCAGGAGGCTTGAATCCAGCTTTGCAGTCCCCAGCGCAGCAGTGTAGGAGTGTTCCTCTCTCTCCGATCCATCGTCAGGCGATTTTGTTCGGAGCGACTTTTTGGGATAGAAGGCCTTGCTCACTGCGGGTTAGTGAGTATTCTATTGTGATTTTGAGTTTGCATTTCGCCTGATGATTAGAGTCTCGAGCAGTTTGCCGCCGGCGCAGATGTGTTGTGGCATTCTTCTGTCTTCTTTCCGAAAAGTGTCCGTTGGCCCACGTTGTAAGAATTTTTTTAGTTTATTTGGAATTTGTTGTTCTTTGTATTTTCGTGGATTCGTAAGTCATCTAGTTATCAGTGATCGAATGCGTAGGAGCAAAGAGTTTGCCATTCTTAGGTTGTCTGTCACTTTCAGTGAGGTATTGCTTGGCTGTAAGAAGTTTGTGTGCGGAGTGTCCAGTTTGTATTGGTAGTGTTTTGTGGGGCTGCTGTGATTGCTTTGCCTTCTTCAGTAAACTTTTGTCTAGGCAGGACTAGGAGAGTGTTTCCAATTTCCTTACGAAATCTAGATGGTTCGATACTTGAGGTTTGGAAGTCTGGTACGTGCAAGCGGTGGAGTTGGTTTTGTGTGAGGTGTGAAAGCTGTGGCGTCTCTGCTTGAGCGCCGTTCTGGAGCAGTGCTATCGCAGTTTTCCAGCACCATTGTTGAAAGGATTCTTTTCGCGCCCAGTGTAGCGCTTTTGTTGTCTGCTTGTGTCAGATTAGAGGGCTATATTGAGCATGGTTTTATATCAGGATTCTCACATCTGTTGCACTGTCAATATTCTTTTTTGGTGCCAATACAGATGATATTAGAGCTCACAGCATTGTAGTATAGTTTGATATTGCGCATATTAAGTGCCTTCCCATTTTGTTTTTGTTGCCTGAAGAAGTGCTTGGTTGAGATGTGCGGGTCTTCTTGGTTCCATACGAAGCGGTAAATTATGTCTTTTCTGATCATCTGGTGAAGAATCTGATGGATCTGGGTTAGATAGTATGCATTGATCGTCTAGATCGAGTTGTGGTGTGAGCAGTGAGACCATTGTTTATGAATTGAGTTGCGATCCACGAGATGGGTAGTTCCAGTGGTAACCTCGTGTTGTGTTGCTCAGGGGTTCAGTAGGCTCGCTGCGAGAGTTGTGTGTATGCCTTGAAGATTGCCAATAGCTTATGTGTGTGGGAAGGAATGGTCTGGTGGTTGCGTTTCAATGTGAGATGTTCGTTGGGCTAATCGAATGCGCAGTGTGGGATGTGGATGGGTATGATGCTTTATGCGGCCAAACTGCTGTGCACGTGTGTGTGTTGCGTGAAGTAATAATCATCGCGGCAACCGGTGAAAGATTCTGTTTGGCCCCTGATTTACTACGCGAGTCCATTTCCGTTGCGCGCGCGATTGCTGTAAGCCAGGATTCCAGCACTATTGAAGTGAAAATGAAGTTGGCACCTTCTGCGGATTCTAATGAATGCTTCAGTTTTTCCCATTCGAGTATGATGTTGGGGTGCGTTCATGACATGTCTCTTTTTAGTGATCCCTGCCTGCCCCTAGCCGGTTCTTATTAATGCCCTCTATCATGAAAGGGTGTTGAATTTGTGTCAAGCTTCTGCATGCTATGAAAGAATATGTGGTCTGTTGTGTGCTGTGGTGATGGTGCGTGAATGGGCCGGTAGGTGAGTCTTAGCATATGTTGACAACCACCCTGATCCCTGGGGATGAAGCCCACTTGGTCGTGATGGTATTATTTTTGTGATAAGCGTCTGATTCAGTTAGCTAGATTTTGTTGAAATTTTTGCATGTAATTAGCGATTAATTGGTCGTATTATCTTTTTTTTTGTTGCATCCTTTCCTGGTTTTGGTATCAGAGTAATATTCGCTTCATAAAGGCTGTTGGGGAGGTCTCTGTTCTTCTCGATGAACAACTCACTCTTGAGGAGGCTCCGGTGGCACTCAGAGAGGAAGCTCAGTCTGTTCTTGACTCCGAAATCCTCACTCTTAACCACAGCACTGACCTTTCAATTCCAGGAGACCTGATGGTCTCCCCGAGAGAAAGAACCTCCTTCTCTGAGTGTCTCCTGGATCTGCTGTGAACCACTGCCATGGCTCTGTGGCCACAGCTTACCCCTCTGGGCTGGCGTGGGTGTAAAATAGATGAGAGATGTGAGAGAGAGTGCTAAATCCAAGGTGTAGCCATGCCAATAATCTTTCTGTGGCCAAAAATCAATCCATTCTTGATATGCGGTAATGATTTTGAGTGTTACATGTTGCATATATTGTGATCATCAGCCACCGAGATACACATTTCTGCATTATGGTCTTCAGAACTGGTATCCATAGAAAGTAAAATTTTCCATTCCCAAATCTTTTATTGAATGCACGTGACTCTCCCCAGAGAATAGTTTGGCTTATTGAGGAGGCAATCAAAAAGCGTTGATGGTGTGACAGTGGTTACAGTGGACACCCCAGGCTTCTTCCAAAGGTTTCTTTCCTTAGAGCCAGAATGGGGGGGGGGTGTTGGAGATACAGGATGAGGAACTGTACTTCCTAAAATCCAAGCCTTTTTGTATGCAGAAATTAATGTAGCTCAAGAAAACAGAAGTCTTCCACTAGGAAGGCTATGATCAAAAGATGAGCACTAACAAGTGTTAATGAGGATGCAGAGAGATTGGAGCCCCATACACTGCTGGTGGGAATGTAACGTGGTGCAGCTGCCATGGAAACAGTCTGGCACTTCCTCAGAGGAACATGAAGTCACCATATAACCCAGCAGTTGCACTCCTGGGTATACACCCAAGAGAATTAAAAATATACACCCACACTAAAACTTGTACACAAATGTTCACAGCAGCATTCATAATAACCAAAAAGTGTAAACAACCCAAATTTCCATAAACTGATGAATGGATAAGCAAAGCAAATATGAAATACCACAATACAATGAAATCATATTTGGCAATAAAAGGAGACGATGTGCTGATACATGCTGTGACACAGATGAACCTTGAAAACATTAGGCTACAGAAAAGAAGCCAGTTCTCAAAAAACTCCACATGTTATATGATCCCATTTACATGAAATGCTCAGAATAGTGCAAATTTATTGCCAGTGAGGGGAGGGGAGCACGGGGAGAGACAGATAATAGTGATGGGGTTTCTTTTGCGGGAGATGAAAATGTTCTGAAATTAGTGGTGATGGTCAAACAACTTTGTAAATACACTGAAAACCACTGAACACTCCAAAAGGGTGATGTTACGGCCTGGGAATTATATTTTGATTTATTATAAAAATGTTTTTTAAACTAAAAAAAAAAAAAGATAAGTATTGCCTTTAGAATCCTCCTTTTCCCCATCCCAGGAAAACTGTGTCATGGGCAGATCTAAGCAGAAAGTGTATTGAGTCTGCGGAGTTGACCGTGGGCTTCATGAGCTTAGGGTTCGCAGAATGTGTCGCTCCATCAAGAAGCTGAGTAGGAAACAGTAACAGGACGGGATTATCCAGCCAGAAATTCTCTTGCCCAGCAACACAGCGTGCCTTCTCTGAGCTCTGCTGGGATCTACACCAGAGGAGGACAGAAATGGGAGATAAGTTTGGGAAAGTATTTCCCGCGCTATACACCAGAGCAGTGGTTGTCTTCTGGGTGGATCAACATTATAAATGGAACATGGCAGCTCCAGTTCCAGGAATCTCAGTGCAACCTCTCATGGGGTGAGCAGTCACCCGCACGTTTGACTTTCTACAAATTCCGTGGCAAGAGTTTTCACTGAATTAAAAGTTAAAAGTCCTGAGTTGAAGACCACTTCTGCAATCTACTCATTACAAGGGCACATCCCTTATATTCTTTGAGCCTCAGTTTCCTTATTTGTAAAACGAGACTAACAATATTCCACTTCACAGGATTGTTGTGACAATTAAATGAGATGGAAAGCGATGTGACGTACGGAGCACCGACAGGTGTAAGCTATCACATGCTATGACAGTTATCACCATTATTGTTGCTAGGTAGCACCAGTCTATATAGAACAGCCACTTTCCCATGCAGTTAGTTGTCTCTTCCATTGGGTAAGAGGACCTTTTGCAGAAGAACTGCCTTCCTTGGGCGGTTCTGTCCCAAATCTTCGTGGATGCCTTTAGAAAGTCTAGGGCTTCCCCCGGTGATCTTGCCGCTGCCACGTGAGCAGCTTGGTTGTTGGTGGAGCCTGCGGGGACTGTGTTCCAGGCTGTGCTCAGCCTCCTCGTGCAGGTGCATCCTCATCTCTCTCCTTCTCTGTCCCCCAGGGCCTGAGACGCTTGTGGGCCCGTATTCCTGCTCCTGTGCCGCATGCCCCGGCAGCAACGCTTGCTGCCGTCGTCTGGGGCTGTGCCATAGCCGCATCTTCGATGTCCTTCTGCCCCGGGACTGGCAGTTCGTACCAGGGAGAGGAATCCCGAGCCTCCTCACCTTCTACAGGTTCTGATTACAGGGAGCTGGAACCTCAGGGCACACAGTTCCCAGGGCCAGGCTCTGTCCCCAGACCTTATTAGCAACCGTGTGTAACTTCCTTCCTCTTGGGAAGCCCTCCCTCTGGGTTACCACTCCTGCGTTTGGCAGGCAGGGCCCTTTCTGGCCGGCCCCACCCCAGGTGCCTGCCTGCACAGAGAGCTGCCAGTTTGCAATTCCATCCTGGGAATTGCTTCTTTATAGAGATTTCATTTTTCTCTTCTCCAGAGGCACCCTCCCCTCCTGAGAGCACACTCTCCTCAGCCCTTATAAATTCCATGTCGCTCTGGCCTTTCACCTCCTTGGCCTTCTCCATGCCCGTACCACAGGCCGGGGCCCTAGGCTTCTGGCCTGCATGTGAATCTCCCCCAGAATCTAGTGATAGAAACTGATTCTAACTCACACGCCCCATCCACACAATAGCACGACCTCAGCCCCCTTCGGAGTGCTGTCAGGCTCTTTCTGGAAGTCCCCACAGGGGACAGGTGTCCCCAGGTTGGTGTGGCAGTGGCAGCCCACAAGGCATCACCCACAGTATCTGCCCTTCTTTTCTCTTCTACAAAGCCAGGAGAAATGTCATAGCTGCTGCTGTCCTTCAGGGAAGACCCTGTCCAGGTCAGGGGAACAGACTGAAGATGTCACCGTTCTTCAGTGCATGGTCCGGGAGGGGCCTCACCCACACACCTCAGGGGCTGACACATCTCCAGGAAGAGGCCCTTCCCCTTGGGGACCCACACCCCTAGCCCTGGAGCAGAGCCCACCCCACCCCCATCCTGTTCCTCCCCGAGACAGTCCCCTCCCCTGTCTGTACTGAAAAATTCCATCTCTCCTACATCTGAAAAGAAGCCAACACACATGGGGCATGTAGGGAGAACATGCCTGGAGCCAAAACATACTCAGCCACCTACTAAGTTCCCTCAAGGAAGGGCCTGCCTGCCACACGCTTAGCACTGCCACATCATGCCAAGGGTTCATAGTGTAAAACCAGCAAGTGTTATTGAAGGAAACCTCCTCTGCCTGGGCTATTAGGTACTATGAGGGAAACCAGAACAGGGAACTTTGCCCTTAAAATGTGGACAGTCTGCATGGTAGGCCTTTAGAAACTCAGATGTGAGATAGAAAAGGCTCCGTGTCCTGCAGGAGAGGCTCCACGGGTTTCAGAACAAGAGAGCGCTTGCTTCTGAACGGGAGTCCAGGTGGATGTTGTAGTACCAACAGCACATAAGCCGAGTCCAGAAGGATCTTGGGGTCCTCTATGGCTTCAAATGCAAAGGGGGAGCCTTCTAGGGGGATGGAAAGGCAGAAGCAAGGCTCAGAATTAGGAAAGTGACAGGGGAAGGGAGGAGACCCAGTCCGGCCAGGGTAAAACCTGTAGTCTTAATACTGTTCAAAGTTTAGCACCTGCATCCACAATCTTTGCATTTCTCAATGGGGTGTAGTGTTGGCTCCTGGCTTTAAACACACATTCATATTAAGTGAGAATTCCTACTTTAGTAGGATTTTTATCAAAATGGACATTGCATTTTGGAATGCCTTGCTCACAATTATTAGCGTAATCATCTATTTTCCCTGCCGTTGTAGTGGGTGTAGTATGTTAATATTATTTCCTGAGGTTTCTTCTCTCTAAAATGGAGTGAAATGATAGAACCTACCTTACAGGGTTGTTGTGAGGCTTGAGGAAGACACTGGGTGAGAGGTGTTTAGCAGGAGGCCTGGCAGGGCACCCTCGACCGCCCTCCTGACCTGTTCCCCTCTGCACGGCCAGGGCCACCGGCGCCCCAGGCCGGCTCATCCTCAGAGCCCGGGCAACCTTGTGGTAGGGATTTGTGGGGGGATTAAGTGTTCTCCTGAGAGGAAGATGGACGGTGGGGAGCTGGGCAATTCCCACAGTGCCGAGGGGACCGCGTGGTTTCCACTTTCTCCTGCCCGTCGTCGGGCACTGAAGCCCGGCTTCCCGTGACCCCTGCTTTCTGCTTTGCTCTACAGAAAACCTTCAAGAAAACTCGCCAGTGCTCGTGACTCGTGTCCTCCAAGCCCTCGGGACTGTTGCTGTGGCTCTAGGGGCCCTGGGAGCTGCCTACTACATAACTGACACCTTGTGAACAATCCCCCAGGCCCACGGTCCGCCAGGTGCGTGGAGCCCTGGCACTTCTCTGAATAGAGGTGGCCTTTACAGCTGGCCCAAGCTTCCAGCCTCTCAAGCAAAGCTTAAGAGCTGACTGACTTGTTCCTGGCCTCAGGGTCTGCTGGCATGACTCTCGCAGGCGACCCTGGCTGCCCTCAGACGGAGCCTGTGCCCAACTGGTTCCAATGAGCTTTCCCCGCCTGCCTGCCCTGCTGCTTTTGTCGGATTGTCGCTGCAGTGACTACTTGCAATCCAGTGGCGGGATCAGCATTAACCGGCAATGAGTGCGTGAGATGTGTTTGAACCAGCAGACCCCGGCTTCTTCCAGACCTGCCTTTGCCAGAGCCCAGGCTGTGGTGTCATCTCCTCGTGTCATTTAACTGACGCTGTGGGTCTAAGGGTCTAATTAAAGCCCTGACGTTTTAGTGCTTATTAGGAACAAAGGAGGTTGAGTTATCACAACTAGATTAGACCAGTCTAGACCTACCTCCAGCCCTGGGTTGGGGCTGCGTCCCTCCAGCTGGGCAAAGCAGGGATGGGCATCGAAACCAGCCGGGCTCCTGCCAACAAGGAGGGAGTGAGGTGGGTGCATGTCTTGGTGGGCGCTGGGGAGGTAGCAGAGGGCCAGCGACCACAGCAGGAAAGAGTGGTTTTAGAAGGCAATTTAGCCGTTCCCAGGATGGACTTGAACACGCACGGAAGTGCTTTAGCCAGTGAAAGCCGCCCTGGAATTAGCGTGAAAGTCAGTGTGGGGTGACACAGGTGCACTGCAGGGGTACATGGGACCCTCCTGACCCCTGAGACTCAGCTCTCAGTCACTGTGGAAGGGAAATCCGCCGTTGGATGTCCTTCTCTGCCTGCAGAGTAAAGAAGCATCTGATGACAGTAGCAGAGCTGCCTCCTCTTTAGGGAAAGATGCTTCTAGAATGTTCTTTCCTAAAGCTTGGGGAACCTCTCCCTCGGCTGATGAGAAGGCACCAACAGCAAGGGGCTTCTTTCCCACCTCTTTCGGGCACCGAATGTGATCAAACTCCCCACCACAACCTGGCTTTGGGGAGGGAGGTTCCACCGAATCTGGGGGGGGGCGGGGAGGAAACAGGGGAGGCGCTGGCCCTGGCTGAGCTGGTACATGCCAGGCGCTGTGCAAAGGGTGTCACTGCCAGGCGGGTTTGGCTGAAAGGAGGGAGAGTGGACATGAAGAGTGGAAGAAATGTGAATCCTAAATGATTTATTTTTCCACCGAAGAATCGAAGCTGCTGAACCCTCACCGTGAGGTTGTAAAACTGAAAAGCCACCAGAGTTCCAGGTCACGGGGTTGTGTCTATGCTAATGGCTCTGTCCTTATTTTTTTACAGATCCAGTTTCCATCAAAGGATCTCACTTGTCACCAAAATAAAAAAAAAAAAAAAAAGAAACAAAAGAATCCTGTTTTTCTATTGTGTTTTACTCTGAGAGGTAAAAGTTGGACTTGGCAAATGGGTAGGGAGGTACCTGTGGGGGCCCTGGTGATTTTTTGAGCCACAGGTCAATCAGAGTGGGAGCCTGTCATTCCTGCTTAGGGCCTCAGACCCAAGGGGGAACAACTTTCTGTGCACACACCCACAGAACAAATGATTGGTTTTAGATTTTCCCGCTGTAAAAGAAGGAATTATAAAGCCTAATTCAATACCTAACATCAATCGTCACTTGTGTCCCGTGGTGGTCCCAGTTAGCAGGAACAGTAGAAATGTGCTGGCTCCCTGTACCTTGGAGGACACAGGCCCTGTGCCCAGGAACACTGTGTCTTTAGGAAATGGCTTCTTTTAGTGTCACCTGTGATGGGGGCAGCCTGTCCTGCAGCCTCCCGGTTAGTCCTGGTGATGTGGCTGCACCCAGCCGGTGCCTGGTGTGCTTCTACCTCTAGCTCCTGAGCAGCAGCGGGAGTCGTCTGGGTTCCAGGTGATCCCAGCAAACACCAGTAGGGGAGAGGGGTGTCCCCCAGGGAGGGAGGACAGACAGTACTGCTGCAGTGGCCACTGAGGGTGACCAAAGCCCGATCCTGCTGAGGCCACCCTGAGAGATGGTGGAACTCTCACCACATGGCAAAGTAATCCCTCCCGAGGGAGGGGGAGCTGGGGTGTTTATAGCCTGTCTGTCCTTGCTACGGGCAGGGAGGAGGTTCATTCCCAGGGATTTTGTCCCCCACTCCCCCGCAGAGGAAGCCCCTCACCCCTCACAGAGAAATGTAGATGTGTTGCTGGGAGTCACTGGCCCTGGAGCAGCGACTACACTGAATGCCTGTAAGGGGTCCGGACACCCATACCAGGTGACCTGCTGTGCCTCCAAGAACTGGTCGGTCTGGGACAGCAGGACAGCCTGGGGGGTGGGAGCAGGGAGCTGGCCTACCTACTGCCACCTCCCAAGCCCAGAATTTCCTTTCCTGAACAGACACTAGGGGTTAGGAGGGGCACCCGAGACTGACAGGGACCCTCTCCGGGCAGCCAGCCTCCCGAAGAATGCTGGCTTCCAGGCTGTGTGTGGGGGGTCATGTTGAGGTCCTCCCTGCAGGTCAGGATGAAGGGGTCTGTAGACAACACGCTGGAGGGGACCAAGGGCCTCATGGCTGCTGCTTCTGGGCAGCCTGGCCCCTCTGGAATGAAGACACCTCCTTTCTCCGGCATATCGAAGTCTCCTGTTGTAAATATTGGCCAACCTGATCTGAACTAAATTAAGCAAAATGAGAATGTATTGGCTCCTACAAAAGTCAAGAGAGAGTTCCGGTTCAGACGTGGCTTGCTTCAGGGCACAGGCCATGTCCCCAGACCCCCACTGCTCTGTCTCTGCTTTTACAGTCGGTCCCCTTCTAGCTGCAGCAGCAGCAGCTTTCTAAGGCCACGTCTAGCAGCGCGGGTGAGCCGGCCTGTGTTCCGGCCTCACGGCTCTATCAGGTCCCGTGCTGCTCCTGGCCCCACGTGCTGACCGGCCAGGTGAGAGCTGCACAGCCCCCTTTGGAACTTGAGGGTAAAGTCCACGGCAAGTAAGAGGGCTGAGAGCAGGGAAGGGATCGGCTTCCAAACGGCCATGTGGGTAACTTGTTACCAAAAGAAAAGGGAATGGATGCTGGGCGCCCAACTGGGCGCCCACTCCAGTTGGGTCTGGGCTGCAGCCAGGACCCTGTGCTCGCCCCCTGCTCCCCACCACCCACCAGCACCAGCCATGTGGCCGGGGGAGAGAACGCACAGCTGCCCTGAGCCGTAGACCCTTGGCAGTGGTGTCCTCCCACCGCCAGGGAAATGTGTGGGGCAGTGCTGGTTGTCACGGTGACTGGAGGATGCTCTGGACCATCACTGGTGAAGGCCAAGAATGCAACGCACAGGACAGTCCACACAATCAAGAATTAATCCACCCAAAATGCCGATCGCATGTCCGTGACAATACGCCATTGGGGCTTGGCTGAAAACGCTGTGTCCCCCCGCCTTACCCTGGGGCCCATGTTACCTGTCGTAGACCACAGCGATCACTCTCGAAGAGTGGAAACTGTGCGTGCCACGTGGTCACGTGCCAGGGCGCCCATCTGCATCCCGCTGCGCGCAGCTCTCTAGGCATGTCCGCTCCTCCCCTCTGTTGTTAGGTCCTGGAGGCAGGGTCTGCTTCTCTCAAGTCCTTCCCAGCACACGACAGGCTCTCATAAATGAACAGGCCTGTCGTCACGGGGGCCACTGTGGGATAAGTTGAGATATGTGTTAGGCCGTTGTACTCAGAGTGGTTTGTAAATGTGATCAGTGGATAAGGAGGATTTTGATCACAGCTCATTTCAAAGTGCTCTTGAGAGGGAAGTTTAGAGCTAAAAAGAAGAGCGACCAGGTACATTTCTGCACATGGTGCAAGAACGAAGGCTGCTGTGGCTGCGAGTTTGGGGCCAGCCTAGCCGAGACTGGGCCTCTGAGTCTAGCGTCTTCACCAGGCTGGGCTCAGACCCTGCCGTGAACATGATCTCAAGACGATAGGTTGGTTATCCTTGAGGAAGTCAGGTCTGTCCCACTGCAGCGATCCATCCAAGGGTGGGAGAGGAAGTCGGGAAGGAGGCACAAGGAGCGAAGGGCAGAACCAATCCCAGGAAGCCCACGCTCCTGCAGCTGCCCACCTGGCCCCTCCAGCTCACTGTGTCAGTGACACAGGACAAGCTGAAAAGTCCTGAGCCTTTCAGATACACCTCTGGTCTCCATCCTTCCCACCTCCACTCTTGGAGGACAACCATCCCCCAGTGGCTGTGAAGCCTGGCATTCAGGCCATCCTTGAGTTACAAGTGGAACAACTGAGTGACAAGGATCCAGGCAAATGAGCTGCCATGCAAGCCGGTCCTAAGACTCAGGGGAACACCTGCAGTGCAGCCTCTCTGCCCAGGCCCGGGTTCAGGGCCATATTGGGGTTAAGCAGGGCAGGAAACCAGGCTCACAGCCACCAACAACCCACCAGAGGGAGGACAGCTCTTCACGTTCCTGTTACAGGCTCTGGCTTCACCAGGAGACTGGGGAAGACCCTCTGTCCCCAGGCAGCTCCTCCTCTGTAAATGCAGGGACAGCATAAACATTGTCACACCTCACACAGCCAGTCACGGGAGGTCAGAGCAGGGATTAGAACTGGCAAAGCTCCCTTGCCAGTGTCCCGAAATGCACTTCTGCCAAAGCCAGGAGGAACCAAGCCGTGAGCTGGCAAAGGACGAGGACGGGAGAGCCTGGAGGTGCCTCCCTGCTGGAGTGCGGAGCAGCGCCGGCGGCCAAGCAGGAAAGTGTCTGGGGAAGGGGGTCTGGTCCCAGCCGCAGGGCTGCAGCAGGAGAGCCAGGCTCGGACTCCTCCAGGAGGGGCTTGGAGGTTGAGAGTTAAAAAGAAGAGGTCTGTCCAAGTCTGGGGTGATTGGTCTCAGTTTAAGGGTCCATAAAACAGGTGAGTGGAAAAGCCCACGCGCCTTCCACCAGACTTGGGGTGAAGGGACCGGCTTGACCAGCTCCATGAAGAAGCCGGACCCCTGGAACCGTATTCTCCTTTAAACCTTTTCCCCCCTCTCTCCACTTGCTCTGCTCTCCTCTCGCCGGCCACCGCCAACCCACTCGGGTGAACTGCCCATACCATGTTCTGGGGGATCTGGTTATTCCGACGACACTGGTGTTTGGATTGCAGTCTGCTGCAGGGTGGCATCCGGGTTTAGTTGTTTCATCTGACGGTGCTCGATTCTGTGAGTAGGTGGCAGGTGCTTTCAATGCACTGATACACCAACTTCAAGGAGGAAGTGTGCATGGGAGATTCCCAAGGCTGCAGTTGTTAAAAGAGAGCTGGGCTCCCAGCAGGCACCTAGTGTCACTTCATATTTATTTGTCTTCCCACGATCGGCCACCCCTAGAAGCTCAGTCCTTTCCCTTTGTCTTGTCACTTCTCTACAAAATTATTGTCCATTGCTAAGATGCTATTGGAGCCCAAGTTCTAGACACTTCTTTGAGTTACTCTTCACTGAGTGCCCCCACGTGCGTGTGTGCACATGTGCATGTGATGCACCCATTCACGAGCGTCTGTTTTTCCTTTATTAATCTGTCTTTTGTCAGCCTAAGCGGCAGGACACAGCCAATGAACCAAAGGTGGGTAGAGGGAAAATATTTTTGTCCTCCTTGCTACAGTCTGAATGTTTGTGTCTCCCTGAAATGCATACATTGAAACCTAATCCTCAATGTAATAGTATTAGAAAGTTGGGCATTTGGGAGGTAATTAGGTCACAAGAGAGCAGAGCCCCTTCTGTTATAGCAGCCTGAACAGACTAAGACACTCTCTTACACTACTTTTGTGTATTCTTGAAATTTTCCATAAGAAAGTATTGTTAAAATCCTGTGCTGCTTCCCCATCTCACTCAGAGCAGAAGCCAGGTCCTTGCAAGGTCCCCTACCCTCCTGCCTACTCTGCTCCAGCTACGGAGGCTGTTTCTTGTCCGTCCATGCTGAAACTGCAAACCCTCACTCACTTACTTTTATCCCCCATAGCACTGAGACCCTTCTAACACAGTGCGAAGTTGACTTATTACTTATGGTGGTCATTGCCTGTCTCCCTCCACTAGTCTGTAAGCTCTATGGGACAGGGATCTCTTTATTTTGTTGTTCAGGGATATATCACCAGCTCCTAGAACAGTGCCCAGCATATAGAAAGAGGGCAATAATATTTAGCATGGATTGAAAGGAAGGAAGGGAGGGAGGGAGGGAGGGAGGAAAGAAGAGTGAGAGACAGAGAGAGTAGGATATAGTTCTGAAACACTTTTCTAGGGGAAGGAGGCCATATATGGAGTCAGGTTTTTTATTCTACTGGCATTTTATTTGATCTAATTTGCTGTCCATTTTATTTCCTTATCTGGCTAGTTCATCTCACACATAAAATCAAGGGTAATTTCTTGGTCTAGGCTATAGGCTGATCTCAGAATAAACTCACCTACAATGATGTCCCGTACACGTTAGTGGCTTCGAGGGGCATCCTTAAGGGAGCTAAAGTTGCACATCTGGACCTTGCAGCTCTGTGATCTCAGGTGCACACACTGGAATCAGCCCCAAGATTGGGCCAGTGACCTCATGGAGTCCCAGGGCTCCTCTGTCTGATGCTCTGCTGGTCTTTGTCCTTCCAAGAAGACACCCTGAACAGGCTGACCGTAGGCCACAGGGAGGACAAATGTGTGTGGAGCGGGTGGGAGTGGGGGAGGGGTGTTGGCCAAACATCTCCATCTTTTTCATTGTGATCCCTGCAGCGGCTCCCTGGGGGACACCAAGGACCCTCAGTGGGCTCCTGAACTGGACGCCAAAATCTTTGGCGAACACTTGGCAGGTCAAGTGTTAAAGTGCCCCCCTTCTCCAGGCTCTCTGCCCCCCTCTTCAGAGCACAGGCAACCTAGGCATGGGGCCCAAGGGTGTGCTAGCAACCCACACAGGCCAGTCCCTGAGCTTGGGGCTGAGCCCCGTGTAAACACCACGCAGCCAGGCTCCACCCACCAAGCCCAACGGCCCCACCTGTCTGTCCCCAACAGGGCCACATCCTTCAGCCGAGAGCCAGCTGCAGAGCCTGGAACAAAGCGCCTCGGGAGTGGGACTCAGGCCACATGTTTACTTCACACACACCAGCTCTCTGGAAACCTCCAGGGGAGAAGTGACACGACAAACTCCCCCTAGAATCCCCGGGGGGCTCCTGGCAAAGGCGGCCCCCACCTCCTCAGCCTGCAGCTGCGGGGGGACGGAATGCACCTCCTTGCCTTTCTGCCCGGGTGCTATTCGCCGGGAGTGGCAGCCACAGAAAGCCCCATTCACAAGCTCCGTCCCTTGGCCCGCTATGGAAAGCTTTCTGAAAATGCAAATCTCTCAGAAGTGGACTCTTCTTTTCAAATACTTGAGAGCTGCATATTCCCACCAAGAACTGTAAAGCAGACCTCCATTTCCCTGGGCAGGCGCCTCCTTAAAAATACCATTTCCCTTTAAAGGAAGCAGAACTTCCAGCTGTGAAGTCGGACTTGACAAGGTGGGAGCCTCACCCTTTGAGGACCTGCAGGTGTGAAGCCCCCAGCTTGCTGTCTGTGGCCATCGCCACCGTGGCCTTGCCTCCTCCCTTCTCTCGCTGGGTACTCGCCCGCACTAGTCCTGGGGGACTGGGGCCTCACAAGACAAGACCTGTTGCCCACCAGAAGCTCAGAACTCCAGCGAGCTGGACAAGCCTCTCAATGAGCCGAGTCCGCCTCTCCCACCCTCCAGACCCAGGGCCACCTGTTCCTGTCACCCCTTAGAATCGATAGAGAATGCAACCAGACCTGGCCCAAATCATTTTAAACACAATACCTGTCTCTCAAGTGTATTTTAATTTGCAAAGAGAATCATCTATAAGTCAATCTGTTTCCCCCACCCATTCATTCTGCCAAGTATCTATTCACCCTCCCTAGTAACCATTTATTGCCTCTCAACAGGATCCCCTATATCCCTGATCTCCTCCTCCTGCCTAAAATGAGGACATATAAACTCCTGGACCTCAGCTGGGTATTGGGTAATCACTCTGTGACTTTCCCCCCGTGCACATGGTAAATAAATTTGTAATCTCTTTCTCTTTTTAATCTGCCTTATTGTGAGTTGATCTTTCAGCAGACCTTCTGGAGGTGAAGAGGAAGTTTTCCTCCTCCCCACCCCACGATAGTATGGACAGCTCTGTAGAAATACCATTGGACAAAAAAGGTATGGCCTAATGCTAATAGACCCAGCAAGGCCTGTCTATCTAGATTCTTCTTGGCCTCTCTGAGCAGCTTTCCTTCCTTCTGGGTTGGGGCCAGGGCCCTCTCCTCAAAGGGGGTCTTAAGACCTACAGTCAAACAGTATAGGTCAGATGATTTCTTTATGGTCAGTTTTTACATGGAGTAATTTTAGGTTTTATGGCTGGCTTTTGGGAAAGCGGGTTCTGGCGTTTACGACCTGTCTTGGGGAAGAGGGATTCTAGTCTATCAGCTAGCCTCAGGGGAGAATGGGGCTGAGAGCCAGGAAGGCAGGGGAAGGTCAGAGAAACACATTTTGTTTCTGAGGTTGCTTTTGAGGCCCTCATCCTGGGGTACAGTTTTATGAGCCCCAACACTGCCAGCAGCACCTGTGGCTACAATAGGTCCTTGTCCACATCCAGAGAGTACCCACAAGCCTGCAAATTTCCCAGCATTCCAAGCAAGAGTCCTATGATTTGCTCTAATCAAACCCAACTTAGGTCACAGGACCACCAATGAGTGGGACCAGGGGACTGGAATGTGATGATTGGCTTAGGCCACCCAGGGCCCACCTAGGGCCCACCTGTGAGTTGGGGTTGGGTTGAAGTGAGTCAGCTACAGGAGAGAAGGCAGAATATCAGAATGAAAATTAGGTTATTTTAGTAAAGAAGTATGGGAAACCCAAAATAAAAAAAATAATTAAAAAAAAAAAAAAAAAAGAAGTATGGGAAACCAAGATATGCCACCCCAAAATATACTTCTTAGACATTGTTCGAGATGGACCTCACAGGGGTATTGGGTAATCACTCTGTGATTTGTTTGTTTTACAGAAAACAAACAGATCATTTTTTATTTTATCTGTAAAATAATTTAAGGAGATTTATTCTGAGCCAAATTTGAGGATCATGACCTGGAGCCATGTCCAAGAAGTCTTGAGCAAGTAGGCTCTCTGTGGCTGGGTTACAGTTTGGTTTTATACATTTCAGGGAGACAGGGATTACAGACAAAGTCATAAATCAATACATGGAAGGCATACACTGATTTGGCCCAGAAAGGTGGGACATCTTAAATTGTCGGCTTACAAGTCATAAGTGGATTTACAGATTCTTTAGTTGACAATTAGCTGAAAGGGGCTTTGTTCAAAGACCAGGAATCAGAGGATAGAATGCTCGAGTTAAGATAAGGGTCTTCTATCCTTCACATGATGCTATACCGGAATCATGTCGGGAGTAAACCACATCATAAAAACCTGTTTACTGAGATTTTATCATTTGTAGGCATCGCTCACCAGGCCCCCTTAGAAAGGAATTTTTGGGCAAAGAAAGGGATCAGAGTTCAGTCCTCACCAAGGAGTCACATTTTGGGAAGAAATTTTCTGAGCTCCTTCATCTGTCATGGGAATCCTCAATTTTAGCCAAGTCAGACAGAAATGTGAGTAACCGGGGGATCCACTACTTGAGACTGGTGTCTGAAATGGGGGGGGGCAGTCTTTGGGGACTGAGCCCTCAACCTGCATGGTCTGATACTAACTGGGTTTGTTAGTGCCAGGATTGAACTGGATCACTGGACACCCAGTTGGTGTTCGCAGAGAACTGGAGAATTTCATGGTGTGGAAAATCTACACGTTTGGCATCGGAAGTGTTGTGAGTAAAGAACATGGTTTTCCTTTTACTGCCATTGAGATACGTCTTCCTAAATGTTTTTTATTTCAACCAAATGTTTGCTAAGTATTGAAGAGCAGTGAGTTTGAGGTTATGGCTCCAATCTAACCAGGATACAGAATATTCCTCATTGCCAGTTAAGCGTAAACCCCAATGTTTGAACAGGCAGCTGAGCAGGGTTAACAACCTCTTCTGAAAGTCAAGTGGCCTGAAGAGAGGCCACCAGAACTCCCAGAGAGGGGGGCCAAGCAGGACCCAGGCAGGCCACTTCAGTTTCTCTCTCACACACGAGTGACTGAGGCTCCCAAATTTTTTTTTCTTTCTTTTTTTCTCTCTCTCTCTCTTTTTTTTTTTTTTAGAGACAGACTCTTATTCTGTCACCCAGGCTAGAGCGCAGTGATGTGATCATAGCTCACTGAAACCTTGACCTCCTGGGCTAAAGCGATCCTCCTGCCTCAGCCTTCCAAGTAGCTAGGACTACAGGCATGTGCCACCATGCCCCGCTAATTTTTTAAATCCTTAGTAGAGACAGGGTCTTGCTATGTTGCCCATGCTGGTCTCAACCTCCTGGGCTCAAGTGATCCTCCCACCTCAGTTTCCCTAAGTGCTGGGATCACAGGTGTGAGCCACTGTACCTGGCCAAGCCCCCAAATTCTTATGCTAGTGTTCCTAATCTTTTCATGTTCAAGAACTGTTTTTAATGCCCTGCTATGCATGTATTGTAATAGCAGCTGCATAGCTGGAATTTGTTGATTTAAAAATATACAAAATGACAGACTTCTTTCTTAAAATTACACCTTTAATAAATGCTCGTTGTAGAAAACCCAACCACAGAGATAAAGGTAAAAATCACCAACATTCTGGTTACGTTTTGTCCAGACAGATACCATTATATTGTAGCGAGGGGGTCTTTAGAGCAGGTGGGAGGCAAGGCTCTAATTCTCTCTAGGGAACCAACGGGCAATCAAATATTCTCTCTCCCAGTTTCCCTATAACTAGCACACAGTCATATGACCTGAGCTTAGCCAATTAGATGCTCCTGCCAAGGACTTTGAATTGTTAAGGAGTGATGCAAAGGCCCTGTGGTCAACCAGAGATTATTCACAATGACTACAGCAGAGTTGAGAGTCCAACAGTACAACCCTGAGGGGCCAACAGTATTGATACCAGGGCCAACATCTCAGCAAACTGTTCCTGGTCTCCTTGATTTCAGTGGGAGATCCCAGAGTGGCAGAGTGACTTCTCATATGTGTCCCTTGAATTAAATGGAGGTTGGATCCCCCATGAGAAAACGACCGCATGATAACATCAAAAATATTTTTTCTCTGTTTTATTCCTGCCTTTCCCACAGGGGCTCTGACCATGGACCAGGGAAAGGGATGAACCAGACCTTTCAGGGGCTTTAGGACACTACCTCTAAACTAAGGCAGATCCCTGGGGAACCAGAACACCAGAGTCAGGTGATTAACTTGATTGGATTCCAGTTCATGGTAGGACTGTTGGAATCCCGAACACGCCACTTCTCCAGTGCCTTGGCGTAGAGTTGGTATAGACAACCCTAAGCTACTGGCTGAATCCCCATGTTTGATCTGTGACCCAGAAAGCAAGAGCTGTTATGACAGGAAGGGCAAAGGAAAAGCCCTCGAAAAATAGCTAATCTAAAGGAAAATCACATCCCCACTGTGAACAAGTCAAAGGTGTGTTTGTGCATGTACACGTGTATGGAAGGGGTGGGTGATTCCACTCCCAGCCCTGTGTAACTCTCCAGTCTTCTGGCCAGTGCAGAAGAAGGCTGGCTCTTGGAGCGAGTGGACAGCAGCACATTGTCCCCATCTTGCTGGTGGGCTGAGCTGGATGGACCTTGGCCACCTCCCCATCCTGCAGGACACCGTGCTGGTCCACTGCACTGAGGACCATGTCATGTCTAGATGCTCCAGCGGTTTATATATATACTCCAGGAGTCTCTGACAGCTTCTAATAGAAAGAAAGTGAACGAGTAGATTAACTCAGTGTTTTATACAAATAGATTGGAAAAGGACTATGCTCTTAAAAACAGCAGTCCCAAATTGCTGTGGGATTTTTAGCTTTTTTTTCTTTTCTACTTTATTTAAAATATTTTCTAATCAAAATACAGAATAACACATACAGATTTTTTTTAAAGGTTAAGTAGAACAGCTTTTATAATGAAGACCAAGTCTCCTGTTTTTCCTTCCAACTTCGAGCCCCACTTCATAGAGGAAATCATTTTTTAATGCAAACCTTTTATTATAGTAAGAGAAGTACACAAATCATAAGTTAGCAGCTCAATACATTTTTACAAAGTGAACACATCTATATAAACAACAGGCACTTTTAACAATTCTGCTTTGGGTTCTTTGGGTGGTTACTTCCATATAGCAAAATAAGATCATTTATGCACCATTTTAACTTTAATACACCTATTTTTGAGTAGATGATTCATTTCTATGGAACACAATTCAAAGGAAACAGCTGAGTATACATTATTAAATGTCCGTGCTACGACCAAATCCCAACCTTTCAGTTCCCTTCCTCAGAAGTCATCATGTTACCGGTATCTTGGGTTTCCTTCTAGAGGCAAACTATTATTTGAGCTATTTTAAATAATGTATCTATTCAATAATTTATGCCCTATCTCAATACAGAACAATTTAAGGCAGATGTTTGGACTACACAATTTGAAGGGCAGGATTAATCTCAATGCAGTGAAAATTGACAACACCAGAAAAATAAGGGGAAATTCATTGAACTTTCCCAAATATTGTCAACAATTCATAGATTCTTGAGGCCTTTCCCTCATGGTGGCAAGACGGCTGCCATAGCTCCAAATATCAAATCTTCGCACAACATTGTCCCAAGCAAGGAAGATGATGGGCCAAAAAGGGCCATTCAACTTCCCTATTCAGGGAAGAAAATCTTTCATGGAGAGACTTCCTCTCATCTTGGATTGGCTAGAATTGAGCCACACGCCCACCCCAAGACCAATCACTGGCAAAGAAGAACAGGAGTGTCACAGGGCTTCATATACTCATGATTCAACCCTGGAGGCTGGATCCACTGTTGCCATAACAGAATCAGGGCTCAGAAGCAGGAAGGCCCAGAAAAGCAACAGTATGTGCCACAGCCTGTACCCATGTCTTGTCATTATCTAAAGCTGAAAAACAATCTAAGCTAAGCTGTCAATCAGGCCATGGAAATAAATCATCCTGGAAAGAGAATGAGGATAGCATACCTTCCAGACATGTGTGGCACAATATGGCAGCCACTAGCCACATGTGGCCATTTGAATCTAAATTACTCAAAATTAAATAAAACTTTAAATGCAGTCCCTCAGTCTCACTAGCCACTAGCCTCACGTGATTAGGGGCTACTACATTGTACAGCACAGATATAGAACATTTTCTTCACTGCAGAATGTTCTGTTGGTGAGTATTGCCTGTCCAGCTGCCCCTGCCAATGATAAGAGCCCTCTCTAAAGTGGCAAAGTGAGGATGTCACTGTCCCCTCAATGCCATACCACCATCATGTCATCAGCAACACCAACATCACGTTCGCCCGGCACAGCCTGGACTGTCGAGCTGAGCAGCCTCCAGCCCGTGATCACAGAGGCCTCTGACTGCAGAATCACAGCAGACACAGAGATCTGGCAAGATCTGGTGCAAAAGAAACTCATGTTTCCGGCACTTGCTGAGTCCATCTGTCCCACTGAATCCTTGATCCACCCCTCGAGGCAGGGGAGGTGCTGGCAGGGAGCTGGCCTGAGCAACTAAGGTTATCATAAGGTTAATATTCAGTGGTCACCTTGTCCTACACCAGACACCTTGTGAGTGATGATCATGAAGTCACCCACTGCCCATATCCCGTCCCCTGAACACTTCCTAGTTCTCAACCTATGGGTGTGGGGCAGGGCGCCCATGGTGAGCACTGGGCCATACTTTCCCCTCGCAGACACAGCTCACACTGTATTTGATATTCTGTAAAGGGGTGCCTGCTCCGAGCCTTGCATGAAGAATGGGATTGCCTCCTGTGATCACTGCCTTTGGATCAACTCTAACCTCAAGAGACCTGACCATTGAGGGTGCCAGCTCAGCTGAGGTTGGTACACTCTTGTCCTGGGGCACGGAAAGGCCACCCAGAGCCCCATTCAGCTTTTAGAGACCATGGCCACTTCCCACCCATTTTGACCAGTGCCATTCTCTGAGAAGGTTGGATCTTGGGAGGCTTATGCTAAAGCTCCAACGTGGCCTGGCCATGTAGATTTTAAAGGAGGCCCAAGGCAAGTGATTTAAAGTCACCATATATCCTTGCTCCACAGGCAAGCTGTTGTTCTCCTCCCATCTCTGCTAAAGCCTCAGATACTGACAAATCCCCATAAAGTCACCTGTGGCTGTGGCCACAAGGGCAACAGGTGCAGATACCCTGTCCCTGGCTGCGTGCTGCTGGCATAGGGTTGCCCTGCTCCGGCTCTCCCTCCAGTGCAGGCCTATGGGGCGGGGGGCTGCCCCCTCTCCTGCTGGCCCCACTGGCTGGTCCTGGGCCAGCAGGGGGAGCCTAGGGGCTGAAACCAGGCCTGTATCTCACAGGGTTTCTACCAGCTCTCTTACAAACCTTATCAGACTCCTAAATTTCAAGTAAAACACTTGACCCTGGTGCCCTGACAGGAAGCGGCTCTGGCCAGGTAGAGGAGGAAATAAAGTCCTGGCAGGTCGGTGAGCAGGGCTGCTGCTCTATGGGAGCCATAGCTCCTTGTCAGACCCAGTTTTAAAATTTCACCCCCTCTTCCCACCTCTGCCTCATTCCTCTGTAGGTCCTGGGGGCTCCCCACTTTCCTTTCCCTCTGCAGCTTCCTCACATTAAAGATCTTCTCTCCACCGGGCTCCTCAGGAAGCTCATAAAGTTTCCCCACATCCCACCTTCTGTGTAGCCCCCAAAACAATTGTCTCAGGGGAGAAGAGAGATAGGATAGCTTGAGGCCAGGAGTTCAAGACCAGCCTGAGCAACAGGAAACACTGTATCTACTAAAAATAGAAAACTTAGCCAGGAACTGTGGTGTGTACCTGTAGCCCTAGCAAATCGGGAGGCTGAGGCGGGAGGATAGCTCGAGCCCAGGAGTTTGAGGTTGCAGTGAGCTGTGATGATGCCACTTCACTCTACGCAGGGCGACAGAGAGAGACTCTGTCTCAAAAATAAAAATAAAAGAAGAAGAAGCCCCTTAGTTTTATGATATTTTCTAGTGTGTGGATAGAGAGGAGGAAGAAATGTTCTTGGCACCCTGCCTTTTTTTTAAGATCTTTGCAGTTTCCTGTTAATTTAATACCAGAACGTTGGCCGTGTAAATAACACAGATGAAGATAAACGTCACTGGCCCTGGACTACAACCTTTGTTTAGCATTTCACCCCCTCTGATCCATGCTCCATCCCACCCCTAGAAAATTTAGAATTTATTACCTGGAGATTTAGAACCTGAGAATGAATAGCTGAAGAGGCAGAGCATGCTGGTTTTAAGCAAGCCTCATAAGAAAATGCTAAAAATACCAGCACACCTGACAGTTCTTCAGTCTGCTGAGCCTTCCCCTCTTCCTCAGAGGGAACCTACTTGGAGTCAATTGCCTTTCCGGTCACCTGGTAGGACTCATCTCTGACTCTGCCATCCTCCCCGCTTATGCCCACTCAGGCTGTACATGGCACCATCGGCTGTACACCGTACCATCATCATCATCATCATTACCACTATTATTATTACTATGAGACAGAGTCTCATTCTGTCGCAGTGCAGTGGCATCATCATAGCTCACAGCAACCTCGAACTCCTGGGCTCAAGCGATCCTCCTGCCTCAGCCTCCTGAGTAGCTGGGATTACAGTTGCATGCCACCACGCCCGGCCAATTTTTAAAATTTTTTGTATAGGTGGGGTCTCACTGTGTTGGCCAGGCTGGTCTCCAAACTCCTGGCCTCAAGTGATCCTCCCACCTCGGCCTCCCAAAGTGCTGGGAGTATAGGCGTGAGCCACTGTGCCAGCTGGGCACTGTGCCATTATTTACATGAGTGATTTAACCTCTCCTACTTGCTATTCTTCAGTACTCCTAGACTTATTTTTCTTCTTGATAATTTCTTCTAACAGTGTTTTTGAAGAGGGGTTACATGTGATAAGCCTTCTGATTTTTTATATACCTGATAATTTAGCTAGAAATCCAAATCTAGGTTCGAAGTTATTTTCCTTTGATACTTAAAAATCATTATTCAACTATTTTCTTAAGCCCAGTGTTGCTATTAAGAAATCTGAAGTCCAGCTGATTTTTGTTCCATCCTCAGTCCTTCTACTACCCAGCTGCTTGGAATACAGATGTGGTGGCTGGAGCTTTTGCTGCCAACTTGGATCACAAAGATGAGAGGGGGCAATAGTGACCTCGAATGAAACCTAAGTCCTCAAAGACCTAATGAAACAGAGCTGCTATTTCAGCCATCACTGTCCACCTCCAAACTTCTACAAGAGAGAAAAAAACAAAAAAACTTTCGTGTGTTTATGCCACTGTTATTAGTGGAGCCTGTATTATTAGTAACTGAAATGAATCTTAATTCGTGTATCCATTACATTTGCTTAGTTTTATACTTTCCAGAAGTCTAATTATTTTTCCCAGTGAAGTTCATGTTTCCCTGGATATCAGCTATCCTGGCTGGCAATGGGAACATCTGGAAGAAACTAAAGCCTAGCCTCTATCTCTTATCCCTCCTGGGGAGCTCAAGGAATGCCGTGGGGGTGGGAGTTGCCTCTGGCATTACAATACGAATGTGCCGCCCCCTCTGGGAGTTTCTGGACACTCTCCCCTGGCCACTGCTCTTTTCATGAGCTGGATCTTGTGGTTAGAATCCTTGATCCATGAAATGGGGAGGAGGGGCTGCCAGGTCTGCTTGTTCTGTGCTTCTAACCGCAGCCTCATGTCCCCATCCTTGCTGACACGAATGTTTTTTGCCTCCCAGTACCGTGGCAGTGGTGGAGGGAGGCATGGGGTGGACCATGATCTACTGAGGCCAGTGTGTGCAGAGAAAAACCCACAAGTATAAGATGTTCACTCAGCTTATCCCCCTACCGTGGCACTGAGGTAGAGGAGGGGAGGGGGCTTCTCCTGGTTTCCCCTGAGTTTCTCAGAGTCCTTATCAATCTCCCTCCTGCTTCTGAGGGACCTTCAAGGCTACATTCACAGGAAGGGGCCAGCCCCTCCAGTACATTAGCATCTTGTATGCCCTGGCCGGTTATTTCTATAGTTTCAGATCACCATCTGAAGCCATTATTCATGTGTTTTGATTGTTTATTGTCTCTCTCCCCTAGGCCCCACTAGAACATCAGGTCCATGAAGGTAGGAACCTGCCTGTTCACAGCCGTCTCATCAGCACCGAGCACAGTGCCTGTCAGAGACATTCCACAAACACAGGCTGAATGAGTGAATCACTGAGCTGGTGCTGGAACCCAACCGTGATTCCAGCCCAGGACTTCTTGCTCCAAATCTAGGGCTCTTCCCATCCGGGCCCCAGATCTCCGCTCTGAGCATCAAGGAAATCCCAAAGACGATATGCAGAGGCAAAAAGTCATGAGTCAGGACCACAACAGAGGTATGGGGTCCTTCCCCCAAACTCTGGCTAAACCAACTGCTGAACCATTGGAGTCAGGGCAGGGCTGCGTCTTTGAATCTCCCGCTGCTTGAACACAGTGGATGCTCAAGAGGGGTTTGTTTTAGGGACACACAAAACTATACTGTAGGAGATGTTTCAGCATGTTTATGGGGGCAGGAAGCAGGGTGACTAGGAGAGAGGATTGGGGATTATATGGAGAAGGAGAGGGCACTAGCCTGAGCTTGACTCAAAGGGGCCTTCAGTGTAGCACTGCATAATACATGGGGGAGCAAAGAGCCACACACAGCTTTTTACATTTAATTAAAATGAAATGAAAAGTAAAATTCAGTTCCTCAGTTGCACTAGCCAAATTTCAAGTGCTCAGTAATAGCCACATGGCGTTCGTGGCGGGAGCATTGGACGATGCAGATAATATAAAACATTTCACGGTTCTACTGGACAAGGCTGATCTGCACTCCTGCTCCTGGCCTGCCGCGGCCCCGACTCACGCCAGAGCATCCCTGCGAGCCACATCTACCCCACTAGGCCTTCTCCCTGGCCGTCTGCATGCCTGGTTTTCGCCCCCAGTGCCTAGGGCAGTGCCCCGCGCACAGTAAGTGTTTGCGGAAATAGTGGGCCCTCGACCAGCGTTTGCCAAATGTTGAAGGCCCCAAGGAGAGTTGGATGGCAGCAGTAACCCCTACTTCTCTCTCCTGTCACTCCCTGCCCTCTTCTCTGCAGCCACCTTCCACCCACTCGGAGCAGGAGCTGGGGGCACAAAGAGGGGCCGGCCCTGCCCCCAAACCATGTGGGATTCCAGAAATACCTGCTCCAGGTTTCAAGGCATCTTACCTCCAGAGGGTATCTTCGTTCACAGCATAATTATCTGTCTTCCCCCACCCTTGGCTGTCCAGCGCCTGGACCTACTAGGTGCTCACTAAGTATTTGCGGGATGGATGGACGAGTGCATGAATGAATGAATGAATGAATGAATGAATGCATGAATGAATGAGTGACGCTCAGTTTCCCGCGGGCTCCGGGAGAACCGCCCTCCCAGACCCCGCCCCACGAGCGGGCGGAGGGCGATGTAGAGCGGCAGCCCGCGGGCCGGGGTCCGGCCGGCTCGGCCCTGGGGGCGTGTCCTGCCGACCCGGGCCGCGGCCGGAGAGGAGGCGGCGGGCGCGGGGCCGCAGAGGCGGCGGCGGCCGGCATGGAGCGCGAGCTGGAGGCGCTGGCGGCGCGGCCCGCGTGCCCGGCCGAGCCGCCCTTCCAGGCGCTGGTGGAGGCGGCGGGCGGCCGCGGGCAGGTGCTGCTGGTGGGCGAGCTGTGGGAGCGCGAGCAGAGCCGCGCGCTGCTGCGGGACTTCGCCCGGGCCGTGTTCCCGCCCGAGCCGGCGGCGGCCAAGCCGGGCGGAGCGGCGGCCGAGGCGCGGGCCCGGGGCGGCGCGCGGGGCGCAGAGGGCCCGGGGGCGGCGACGGCGCCATCCCTCGCCGCTGGTCTTCGTGCTGTGCCGCGCGTCGTCGCTGGCCGCCCGGGAGCCGCGGCGCCGCCTGCGGGAGATGCTGCGGGACGTGCGCGGCCGGCGGCGGGCCGGCGCGGCGCTGGTCGGGGTGCTGGTGGCCGAGGCCGGGCCCGAGGACGCGGTGGCGCTGGGGCTGCGGCTGCTGGAGGCACTGCTACGCGCCGTGTTCGGCCGCCAGGCAGGGGGCCCGGTGCAGGCGGCCGCCTACTGCCCCGGCTGCCCGGCCTCCAGCCTGGCCGTCCAGGCGGCCGCCTGCAGGGCCCTGCAAGCCGCCGGGCCCGGGCGACCAGGTGAGAGTGAGCGGAGCCCGGCTGGGCGCGGGGCGGGCGAGGGGGGCGGCGGCCTGGGGAAGCCCCCCAACCTGGACCCCTTTAGGCTGCCCAACCTCATTGAGCACCGAGGTAAACTGAGGCCCAGAGCGGGAGGTGCCTAGCGGTGGAGAGCGGGCTCTGGGCTAGGAGTCGAGCCTGTCGCGGGAGGATCCGGAGTGCACGGGAGATGTCTACAGGGCCTGGGAAGGCCGAGGGGACTAGCCGGAGGCCGGGTAGAGAGAAGGGTTGGTGTGGGCAGCGGGTAGGGAGGGGAAACGGAGAAGAAATGGGAAAGACCTAGGATGCGAAAGTTCAAGGCGGGCGGATGGCAGAACTGGGACTAGTGAGGTTGGCGGTGCCAGGAGCTAGATTCTAGGGCGCCGCGCAGCTGGGGATGCGTCGGGATCTATAGGAGGGGCGACCTCAGCGCCAGGTAGGCTCAGTGTCCGCGGGGTCAGAGGAAGAACGCCAGGAATAGGTAATAGGTGCCGGGGACTTGGCGGCGTGGGGGAGGTGCGCGGGACTGACTACACAAAATGTTCTCGTGCTTCCTGGCCGCCCGCCAGGTGTGCACCCACTGCTGCGCCTCCTGCCTGCCCCGGGTCTGTTGAGGCCACCTTTTCCCTCCTCAGTCTCCTAAAAGGTGGAGAGGGGAGTGAGTGTCTTTTCCCAGCCCTGTGACTGCAGCCGTCAGCAGAAAGGTCGGAATCTCCTCCATCCTGGAACACAAGCTTTTACAGGAACCCTCCAGTGTTCTAGGATTAAAACATGCACATTCGGTTTAGCTGGATCTGGCAAAACTGGGAGATCTTTGCGCTCCCCAGCTCCCTCTGCCCGCCCAGTTGGGCAGCCCTCCAAGCCCTGCAGCCGTGGCTGTTAAGGAGTTAATGCAAACGGTGGCTGTGTGGTGCCTCCCAGTATCAGTGTGTAAGCCAGCAACTGGGAGAAGCCAGACATGGGGGGAAGGGGGGTCTTTCCCAGCCAGGAGACCTGTGAAGTTACCGGTGTCATACTTGCACCTGCCAGCCTGGCCTGCCTGAGCCGGTCAGCTGCAGAGCCTGCCCTAACCTTCCTCCCTCTCTGGGGGGAAGCCATTTTTCGTTGAAGCTGTGAGGATAAATTTTATTTTATTTTATTTTTATTTTAGCGTATTATGGGGGTACAGGTGTTAAGGTTACTTATATTGCCCATGCCCTCCTGCCCCCTCAAGTAAGAGCTTCAAGCGTGTCCGTCCCCCAAACGTTGCACATCTTACTCGTTGTGGTTGTATGTACCCCTCCCCTCCTCCCCCCTAGGATAAATTTTAAATTCAATGCCCTGCATCCTGGAAGAGAAAGACCAGGGAAATGCCCTGAGCTGGATTGGTGTTCAGATTGCAGATTGCAGTGCCTGCCCCTTCACTGACCTGCAGGTACCCCCCTATCCCCCCAAGAAAGGAATTCTCAAATTTTCTGCACCTTAATGAGCTGGTGCCCCAAAGTCTCTTAGCCTTTAGTCCCCATTCCCAGGAAACAACTTTCAGTTCCCCAGAGCCTGGCTTGCTCTGCCCAAGCTGTTGCCTGAGCCTGAAAAGCCTTTTCTCCACTCCTCTTCACCTGGCCAGTCCCATCTTGCTTGGACTTCTTCCTCCAGGAAGGCTTCCCTGACCCTCCCAGCTCTAGTTTGCTAATGAAACCTGAGAACCCTTTGCCCTGCTGCTCCTTAAGCTCTTACCACATGATTTTGTCACTTGTGAGTTTAACCACGATTGCATTCCCCCGTTTCCTGACACCCTGCCTGGAATGCAGAATGGGTGAATGAATCCTTGCTTCCTTTTAAACAAACACTAACACTTTTGAAATCTTAGCACTTTGCAAGGGTGTTTTTCTCTACTGTATTAAACTCTTTCCTACTTTCATGAAAACACTGAACAAACTAAAACCTTCATTAATGACTAAAGGCCATGAGCATAATTATAACTCACTGGTCACCAATTTCTTCTGTAGCTTTCGCAATGGGCAATGCTATTACCCCCACGCCAAATGGATTTGTCACTAAGGTTTTGCTAGCAGTTGTGTCTGGTTTTTAAAAGTTTTCTGATCTCTTTCCTCACTGCCCAGTGATAATTCTTATTCTTTTAGATTGCTTGCCTTTTGGCAGTGCCCTTAGGCCCAGTTTATGTTGCCTAATCCAGCTGCCTTGGGCTGAAATACTAAGGATCCAGTCTTGTTAGAACTGGACGGTGCAAATGAAGGGTAAATAGATTTATCTGTCAGGTACAATGTACACTATTCTGGGGACAGGTACACTGAAAGCCCTGACATCAGCATGATGCAATTCAACTAACAAAAAACACTTACACCCCCTAAATTTTTGGGAGAAAAAAAGTAAACAGACCCTGAGTAAAGATTATGAACAAGGATTTTCCTTGTTTTTGGCTGCCTGGAGTCTTTTTTTGTTTTTAACTTAGTTCCTGGTGACTTTATGTTATTGTCAAAAAAATTAAATCTATTCCTTTTAAGGAATAGTTTTAACTAAAAATCAGAGGGAAAGTACAGCTCCTTGAGTCTTTTCTTTGGTGTTATGACATTGTAATTAATTTCATGTTATTTGTGTTACTGTAGTTTCCCCAACATGGTACCTACATCACAGGGCTTTGTGAGGATGAAATGAGAAAACTTAGGTCAGGCGTCCTCACACTACGGCCCGCAGGCCACATGTGGGTGTTTTTGCCTATTTGTTTTTTTACTTCAAAATAAGATATGTGCACTGTGCATAGGAATTTGTTCATAGTTTTTTTAAAACTATAGTCCAGCCCTCCAACGGTTTGAGGGACAGTGAACTGGCCCTATTTAAAAAGTTTGAGGACCCCTGACTTAAATAAAGCAATCATTTTTAGTAAGTACAAAAACCCACCCACTTTCGAAAATCAGAATCTTTGTTTTTTTAATCAGACAGTTGAAACTAGGGCAGTTGACAGTTGAGGCTCTTGGTTTGCTAAACAAAATCTCAGTTTTGTGAAGCAGGAACCATTTGACCTTCTGCCTCTGGGTTTTGTGTCCTTTCTAGCGGAAGCACCGGGCCTTCCAGGACTGCTGACCTGCTTTTCCTGGGGTCCCTGGAACCGGAGGAAGGACCGGGATGTTGCTGCCTCCAGCAGCCCAGCTCAGGGTGAGTGCTTCACCTCTGACTTCCTGCAGCTTGAGGGCCGGGTGTATGGGATTACGGGAGTGGTCACATGGACATGGGGACCTTCGGGACAGAGCAGACCAACATCCATGGAGCACTTGCCATGTGCTGGGTGGGGGTGTGAGCAATGCGAGGTGCCACATGCCAGGCAGTGGGCACATGGGCTCGGTCGGGCCGGGCTGTTTCCCCAGGAGCCTCCCCCTAATGAAGCAGTGCGGGGAGGGCTGCAGTGCAGGTGTCCCAACATGCACAGTGGGGGCCGGGGGGCAGACACACTAGGTCTCCCCTGAGGATTCAGGGAGTATCGTGGAGCAAGTGACATTTGAGCTGGGGATGGAGGGATTTTCGTAGGCAGGAGTAGGAAGCTTTGGAGCACCCCGAACAAAGGCGTGACAGCGCGATGTCATGCTCGGAAACCTCACCGCCGTCAAGAGTGGCCGGAGGTGAGGTGCAGAAGGAGACCAGTGAGGGTCAAGGCTGAAGAGAAGAGTTGGGACCAAATCAGGGCCCTGGACATGAGTCCTTCAGGAGGCGAGCGCCTCTGGCGATTTCTGGGCAGGGAGAGTGGGGGTGCTTGGGGACCTGGCAGGGCTGTCCGCGCAGGGAGACAGCAGAGGCAGAGCCCAGCCTGGCGGCCAGGGCGGTGGGAATGGAGAGGAAGGAACTCACTTCCAGGGTGGAACCATCAGGCCACCACAGGGAGGTGAGGGAGAAGGCGAAGGGACCATGAGGAAGGTGAGAAGCGTGGTATATCCCCCCATTGGAAGGGAATGTTTCCAAGACCCCCTGTGGATGCCTGAAACCACAGAGAGCCCCAAACCCTATGTATACACTATATTCTTTCCTATATATACACACCTATGATAAAATTTAATTTATAAATTGGGCACAGGATGAGATTAACAACAATAACTAACAAAATATAACAGTTATAACAATGTACTATAATAAAAGTTATGCACATGTAGTATTTCTCTCAAAATATCTCGTACTGCGCTGTGAGTCACTGAAACTTGGGAAAGTGAAACTGTGGCTGAGGGGGACTGTGGTACCCAGGGGAGCAGGTTGTGTCCGGGGAATGGACATGAACCCACCCCACCCCAAGGCACACTGGAAAGGATAGCTTTGTCACATAAACAGTGGACAGTGGTTTAAAATAAATTTGTATTGCATCTCTTATTTTAAAAACAAAATGATGTATCAGTTGATGTAGCAGTCTTCATTGCTGCGTAACAAATTAGTGGCTTAAACTTAGTGGCTTAAAACGCATTGATTGGGTCCCTGCCTTCTGGCTGGCTGTCAGCTGGGGCTGCTGTCAGCTCTGAGGGTCCCCCGCCATTCCGTGCTCTCCCAAGCCCTCCTACAGCAGCTCCTGCTCCAGTCAGCAGGAGAATCTCCCTCTCCAGTTGGCCTGGAGGGAATCTCACATAACATAAAGTAATAGAGGGAGTCACTAGCTGTCACCTTTGTCATAGGAGGTGCCCCAGTCAACAGAGTGGCTAAGCCATCATATTCCCCGGGCCTGCCAACACTTGGAAGGAGGGCTCAACACAGGCTCCCTACACTTAAGGGGCTGGAATCTTGGGAGGTATCTTAGAATTCTGCCGATCACAGCTGAAAGTTCAGAAGATACACAAAACGGAAAACAAACATGAAAAAGCATTCACTGAATTCCATCCGTCAGAGGTGACTATAATCAGTATTTTGGGGTAAGACCATTCTATTTACCCATGTATCTCTCCCTCTCTCTCTCTCTTTTGTGCTATTTACATTTTAATAAAGTCACTTTTATATAATATATAATCTTAAAATGTAGCAGAATTTGAACTGTTTAATTGCAAAAATATTAACTTCAGCCTCTCCATCATCATTTTGGATTTATCTGGAAACTAAAGGGGAAAAAAATAAGGCAAAAGAATAATTAGCAATTTTATATAAATCTGGGAGAACTTCCCTCTCTGTGGTATATAACAAATCTCATGTGGAAGTGAATGTATTAAAATGCAAATGGAATTTGTGGATAGACAATATATATTTTACAGTATACTTATTAATATATACATATATAGCCTTGTGTTGCTTAATAACAGGGACACATTCTGAGAAATGTATCACTAGGCAATTTCATCATTGTGCAAACATCACATAGTATACTTACACAAACCTCGATGGTATAGCCTGCTACAGACCTAGGCTGTGTAGTATAACCTATTGGTCCTAAGCTATCAACCTGTACAGCATGTTACTGTATTGAATACAATTGAAACATAATGAGAAGTATTTGTGTATCTAAACATAGAAAAGGTACAGTATAAATACAGTATAAAAGATAAAAATAGGCCAGGTACGGTGGCTCATTCCTGTAATCCTAGCACTCTGGGAGCCCAAGGTGGGAGGATCCCTTGAGGTCAGGAGTTCGAGACCAGCCTGGGCAAGAGCTAGACCCTGTCTCTACTAAAAATAGAAAAAATTAGCTGGGTGTGGTGGTGTGCACCCGTAGTCCCAGCTACTCAGGAGGCTGAGACAGAAGGATCATGTGAGCACAGGAGATTGATGTTACAATGAGCTATGATCTCGACACTGCACTCTAGTGAGACTCTGTCTCAAAAAGAAAAAGAAAAAAAAAAGATAAAAATAGTATACCTATATAGGGCACTTTCCATGAATGGAGCTTGCAGGACTGGGGGTTGCTCAGGAGCATTTAGGTTCCGAAGCTTCCTTTCACTTACCTTCAATAATATTGAAATTTAAATAAACTCTATGCAGTTCTGAACTATTGCATTCAAGTAGTCGCAAATTAACTCATTACTACATTGTTGGATGAAAATATTGACTTAGAGTGACACTAACTACAGTTATGGGTCCTTTAACAACAAGGACACATTCTGGGAAATGCATCGTTAGGCAGTTTCGTGGTTGCCCAAACATCATAGAATGTACTTAACACAAACCTAGGTGGTATAGCCTACTATACACCCGGGCTGTGTGATACAGCCTATTGCTCCTAGGCTACACACCTGTACAGCGTTTACTGTACTGAATACTATGGACAGTTGTAACACAATGGTATTTATGCATCTAAGCACAGAAAGGGCACAATAAAAAGGGTATAAAAGATTAAAAAGGAAAAAGGGTACACCTGTATAGGGCATTTGCCATGAATGGAGCTTGCATGACTGGAAGCTGGTCTGGGTGAGTCAGTGAGTGAGTGGTGAGTGAGTGTGAAGGCCCAGGACGTCGCTGCACACTGCTGTGGACTTCCTAAACACTGTACACTTAGGCTGTACCACGTTTATACAAAATATTTTTCTTTCTTCAGTAATAAATTAACCTTGGCTTACTGTAAGTTTTTTTGCTTTATAAACTTTTAAATTTTTTAAACACTTCTTGACTCTTGTAATAACGCTTATCTTAAAACACACAGTGTCCGACTGTACAAAAATATTTTCTTTATATCTTTATAAGCTTTTTTCTATTTTATTTTATATGTTTTAAATTCTGTTGCTAAAAACTAAGGCACAAACCCATCGGCCTCGGCCTGCACAGGGTCAGCGTCGCCAGTGCTGCTGTCTCACCTCCACGTCGTGTCCCACTCGAAGGCCTTCGGGGGCCACAGCATGCCTGGAGCTGTCACCTGCTGCATCAGTGCCTTCTTCTCCAGTGCTTACTGAAGGACCTGCCTGAGGCCGTTATACAGTTGTCGTTGTTTTCTGTTTGTTTTTTAATAAGTAGGAGTACACTCTAGAGTAACAATGAAAGTAACAATTTAAGTATAGTAAATACATAAACCAGTGACATAGTTGTTGATTACCTTTATCAAGTAATATGTACTGTATACGATTGCATGTGCTTTTAGATGACTGGTAGTATACAGTAGGTTTGTTCAAACCAGCGTCACCACGAACGCGTGAGCAGTGTGCTGTGCAATGACGTCAGGACAGCCATGAGGTCACTAAGCGATGGGAATTTTTCAGCTCCCTTATGATCTTATGGGACCACCATCCTCATATGCACATGGTCGTCGTTGACCAAGACATCATTACGCCGTGCATGGACTGTACACACCGTTTTGGAATCTAGTTTCTTCATCTGTAATATTGTGACTGTCTTTCCATGGCAATAATCATGTTATTTATATATCTTTTATCTTTTATTTTTGAGGAGATTGCAAATTAACACGCAGTTGTAAGAGATCATACAGAGAGATCCCGTGCACACTTTGCCCAGTTTCCCCCGTGGTAACATCTTGCAAAACTGTAGTGCAATATCACAGCCAGGATACTGACACCGATACGTCCACAGGTTTTATTCTGATTTTCCCAGTTGTACTTGTCTCATTAGTGTGAGTGCGTGTGGGTGTTTAGGTCTACAGAGCTTTAGACACCATTTTTAGTCCCTGAATCCCACCATAGTGTGAGCCACGCTACTCAACAGTCCCATCTGGACGTTGAATCAGTTCAGGTGCGTTCAGCCGCAGGTAAGAAACCATGACTCAAGCTAGCGAAAGCGGTGAGGAGAAAACAGTAAGGGGAGTCGTCCTCTCGCCTAGCACAGGCCAGAGGGGGAGGCGGCTTCCAAGTTGCTTGGTGCAGAGGCAGGGCTCGGTGACCCCACCACGGAGGCAGGGTCTTCCCTTCCCTCTGCTGGCCGTCCTCACTGCTGCCTAGGCTGGTGGCGAGTTGGCTGCAGCAGTTCCACTAATTACTCCTAATTATTTCCTTAGGATAAAATCCTAGGAGTGGAATTGCTGGGTCAAGGGTATGTATGTTTTTAAGGTTTTCACTATGTATCTTGTTTTGTTTTTTAAGTAGATACTCACTGGGACCAACTTCCTCCCACTCATTCCTAGCTTGCTCACTCAAACGTTGTTGTCTGATGGGGTGATTCCCTCTCCTGTGTTCCAGGTAACCTCCCGGAGCCTGGAGAGGAGCTTGCGCTCACAGCTGTGTTTCCCAACGGAGACTGCGAGGACCTCGGAAGCCGGGCATGCAGTCCTCCACGCTCCCGCTGAGCCCGCTGGGGACTCGAGATGAAGGCTGGACCCTTGCCTTGGGCTGTCCTGGCTCTGAGTACAGACTGGGGCCTGCCTCCTGCTGTCTGGGCCCCCGTGTCTCCATGGTGGCCTCAGCTGGTGGTAACTACATAGACCCTCTTGCAGGGGGGCTGCCACATTCACAGTCACCAGCTAGACGGCGGGACTTACTAAGACAAGCTGCACCTAGGAAGATGTATCCCCTGGGAACCTGCTCCCCACTTGGCATTTGCTAACTGTGATCACAGGGAGCTTACTCTGTCTCTCTGGGCCTTGGTTTCTCTGAGCCGTGGGGACAGACGGCTCTCTCCTCTGAGGCTCTGCAGTGCTGTGCTACCCCATGGTGTGTGCAGTGCTCCCGGCACATGCATGAGCATCCGTTGCTTAGAGCCCAGCTGGAAAGAACTGCAGACCAGGAGTCAGCAGATCTGAGGCATGGCCTTGGACGTGTCACTCAGTCCCTGGGGCTTATGTTTCCCAAGTACACGAGGGGGCTACCAGCCCAGTGGCTTTCCAGCGGGTGCAGCTGCCCCTGCAAGCAGCACTGGAAACGTGTGTGTGTGTGTGTGTGTGTGTGTGTGTGTTGTGGGGGGGGGTCACTGTGACTATGGAACCCCTAGAATTTAGTGGGTGTCCTACAGGGTGCAGGACAGCCTCCTAGCAAAGACCTGGTCTACTCAAAATGCCAATCATCACCCCTTTGAGAAACTCTGGATGAGCCAATCCCTTCTCCCTGTCAGAGTCCCCCAGAGCAGAGAGGGTCGGGTTTTCTGGGACCTTGGCTCCTGGCGCCAGCCAGAATAAAGAGGGACCACACTGTTGCCTTGGGGGCCTGTCAGGGCAGGGCCAAGACAGTCCGTGCGGTGCAGGGCCAGGACAGGAGTAGCCATGCACACCTGAGAGAAGAAAGAGCCTTTCTCTTTCTCATGTTGACACTGACTTTCTGTGCCAAGCCCTTTGAGGATAAGAATGTTGGGAACTGCCCAGGGCACCACACAGAAGGAAAGCTAGGGGCATGGCATGCTTGGGTGCAGGACTTGCTCTAGGTCCCAGGTCCTAGCCCAAGGTCAAAGCAGACACGGCCCAGAGATTCTTGAATCCTTTCCTCTGTGTCAGTGAGCCCGAGAGGGTCGATGGTGTTCTTGTGGAGCCGGGAAGGCCGTCTGCCACTCACAGAGGAGGCTCTGTGTTACCTCCCTTGTCTTCTTCGCTGCCCCTGGGCAAGTCCAGAGTCTTTGGGCTGGCAAGAGCAGCTCCTGATTTTCCTAGCGGGAAGCACTGTCTGAGGGAAGAGGCTACATTCATTCCCTCCCGCATGACTCGCTCAGCAGACACTCAGTTGTCACTATTTGCTCGGCGCCCTGTGAAGTGCTGCATAACTTTGGTTACTTCAGCTGTCTGTGTGATAGTGCCAACTTGTGCAGTGTGAACGTTTCTTTGGCTGAGGGGCTCTATGATTTTAAGGAGGGGCCCTCCTTGCTCGGTGCCTCGGTTTCTTCTCCATCCTAGGGAGCCTAATCCTATCTGAGCCCCACAGGGACAGTGTGAGGATGAGCAGGATGACAACATCCTCACATGTGGGGTTGGTTCGCAGCAGGCATCATTTTATTGCAGGGCTGCCAGGTGTGGTGACTCCAACCTGTAGTCCCCACTACTTGGGAGGCTGAGGCAGGAGGATCACCTGAATGCAGGAGTTCAAGGTTACAGTGAGATATGGTCACACACCTGTGAGCAGTCACTGCGATCCAGCCTGGGCAACATATTGAGACCCCATCTCTAAAATTAAAATAATAATAATGCAATAGATTGACCCTCCTTCTACACAAGAGTGAACTCAATGAATTTTGACTCACTGATTTTATTGATTTTGTTTTAAAAAATGGGGAGACATGTATTTTTGAAGCTGCTATATTTTTATATTTCTTTATTAATTTCTTTGTAATAATTGGGTTAAAGTTTTATTATTTGGTGGGGGAAGCGACCTTTTTTTAATTTAGAAATTTGTCTAAGGCAGAAGTTATAAGGTTTAAAAACCTCTGTATCTGTTGCCAATATTTGAAACTTGGGAGATTGCACATTAAGAAACTGAGTTTTCTGGGTGGAGGATGAGGGTGGCTCCAGTTTGCAGCATTTTCCCACCGCCTCCACCTTAGTCCCTCTCTCCCCGTGCCCACGCATCCCATCCCCTACTGCCCTTCACTCCTAGAGGACACCTGCCTGGTGCTGGCCCAGGTGGGCTTTTGAGTTTGCAGCCTCTGGTCTAAAGGGTTAGCTTTACACATTGCGTTTTCATTGCCTTCGGTATTTCCTATGAATAGTTAGAAGATCTTTGTTTACTGAAATGGGTTCTGCCTCCCAACTGACAAAACAGGGCTGAGCTCATCGCAGCTTTCTTGAGATGTGGCTGCCACAGGCACCATGCTTGTAGGGACACACTCTGCTGTTTCCTGGCTAACAGAGTTAGGTGCCAGAATTCTTCTCTGAAGGACGTCAAGAAGGCTCAAAGGTTGGGGTGGGCCTGTGTGAGGGAGGAGACCCTGGATTAGGTCAGTGGTCCAAGGAGCCATCAGCAACGGGCCTCCAGCAGGGTCAGATCTGGGCTCTCGAGCACTCGTCTTCCTAATACAGCAGTGGTTGTGCCGCTTCTGACTTGAATTAATAGTTCTTTGTGTCTAATAAAACCAAGCAGAACCTCACTGGTATCTTGTCAAAAACAGAAGGGCTCTTCCCCTCTATTCTTTCTGTCTCTTTTTTTTTTAATGTCAACATTAATTTTGGTCAAGATTTTTGATGTTGTTTTTGTTATTGAGACAGAGTTTCGCTCTGTTGCCCTGGCTACAGCGATGTTGCCCTCATCATAGCTCACAGCAACCTCAGACTCCTGGGCTCAAGCAACCCCCTGCCTCAGCCTCCCAAGTAGCTAGGACTACAGTGGGCATCATCACACTCGGCTAATTTTTCTATTTTTAGTGGAAATGGGAATCTCATTCTTGCTCATGCTGGTCTTGAACTCCTGGCCTGCAGCGATCCTCCCACCTTTGCCTCCCGGAGTGCTAGGATTAAAGGCATGAGCCACTGCCCCTGGCTGCCTTTCATTCTCATAAGGTATTCCTTGCAGCAGCCCTTGGGAGCAGGGAATCTGGGTCGAGGGTAGAAGCCTCTGGAATAGTGACCTGAAAGTCTCTAAGCCTCTGCCCTGGGTGACATCTCCACAGCTCTACCAGCCAAGATTAAAAATCATGTAACTAGGAAACATAAGCAAATATTTTAAAAGATTAAATTTTAAAAGATAGCATTCAGCTTGGTATACAATAGTGCATGAGCATGTTGTGCACATGCATACGCACTCATGTCTGACCAGAGCTCAAACGGCCTTAACTGAGTCTCAGAGAACCCTTTGTACCATCCATATCACATTTTTTTCTCCTCTCAAAGTGTTTGTCTCCAAAACTTGCTGCACAGGAGGAGTCCCTTGGATGTCAAACCAAAAACTAAGGCAAACCTGCACAGGAGCCAGAGCTGAGGCCCCAAACCTTTGATCTAAATGAACCCCTCTTACCTGGCAGAGAACCAAGGGCGAAACCTCGCTAGGGAAGGTTAATGGCAACCAGGTGAACTTGGAAGTAGTCCATACTTTAAAATGTAGGGGGGAGAAGCTGCAGGGTGTTCCCTGCAGTGAGGAGGCCTGGACTTTGTCATGTTTGCATGGCAAACACAGCACAGTGAGCAAATGTCAGAGGTTGGCTGTTTGCATCCAAGGGTTGCATAAGCCCTTCTGACCTGGTTTTGTGCGTTAGTGGATCAAGGATTGGGACAGACACGGAATTTGGCCTGGGCAGCCTGCCATTTGTGTAACCTTGGAGTTGAGGGAGAAATGGGGTACAAGGCAGGGTGGATGACCAGGATGCTACATGGACCCTTCATGTGCCTTTGGCCTGAGCCAAAGGCTCTGGTTTCCTTATATTTGGGGCTGCCTAATTGGGAGCAGAGGCAGAGGCTACCCCACCAGGCCATGCCATGGTTCACAGGGTATGTGCCAGAAATCCCACTGTGAAGAATGGGAGGGACCAGAGTGTGGGGTAGCTCAGGTCCAAAGTGGGGCTGGGCGCTGAGACCAGTGTGGGACTGTGGCTTTGGCAAGGACAAGAACCCTGTCTGGCTTTCTCCCTGGGCTCCCCAGCCCCAGCTGGTGCTTCTGCCACAAATGCAGACCCAAGACTGCCTGTTCTTGACCAGTGAAATCCAGAGACCCTCAGTAGGGCTTGTTGCTGTCTTACTCTGCGTCTAGTTGGAGTAATTAGACACTGAGTTTAGTCCTGTGACTGAGCCCACTTTTGAGTCCTGGTTGCAAAAACGGAGTGTCTTGAAGCACTGAGTTCCTTTGTTTCCTGACGGGTTAAAGAGGCCTTCTCAGAGCAGGCAGTTGCCTCTGATCATTGCCCTAACCCCAGGCTAACCTCACCCTGACCACCTATAGTCCCAGGAATGTCGCCTGCTCCGGAACCCATTGCTGCCAGGACAGCCACTGCCAGCTCCTGGCTCCCCCACAGGAGTGGGGCTCACCTTCAGCCTCCTCACCACCTCCCCCCCACACACACACACACAATCTGGCCCAGCAATGTGGCATTGCCTAAAAGCAGGCAAGACCTTGGAGCTAGACCAAAGGGCCAGGCCTGAAGGGGATGGCAGAGGAATCAGGCCTGGAAAAGGGTCTAAACCAGCCCTGCCTAAGAGAAATCTAACATGAGTAGCTTTATATTTTCTAGTAACTACATTAGGAAAAAAGAAACAGGTGATGGCCAGGCATGGTGGCTCATGCCTGTAATCCTAGCACTATGGGAGGCCGAGGCGGGCGGATTGCTTGAGGTCAGGAGTTCGAAACCAGCCTGAGCAAGAGCGAGACCCCATCTCTACTATAAATACAAAGAAATTGGCCAACTGATATATATGGAAAAAATTAGCCGGGCATAGTGGCGCATGCCTGTAGTCCCAGCTACTTGG